AGCACGGAGATGTCGGTCATCGTCCGTTCTTCGGTCTTACTTAGTTTGGTCAGTGTACGGTCAACGTGAATTGAACACGCGACTCGCCTGGACTTGAAATCTAGGGCCGGTTGAAACCTCAGTCGATATTTCAAGTATACATTTGTGTTAAAACCAATTCTGGATTTTTTACGCCCAATAAGTCTAGATTGTAGTCGATACGTCATGTGCGAGTTTGGGACATAATGGAGTTGGTATTTATAATCCCACATTGGGTTTATTCTTATGGTAACGTACATGACTCCGACGCGGTATAGACTACAAATTCAAGTTACAATCTAAGCTGTATTTGGTCCTTGGTCTCAATATCTACGGCAGATTGGCGTGAAAAAATTAATCCAAACCGGGTTCGTAATGTGGAACCCTGGCAGTGACTTCAACTATTGTATCTCGGGCCGCATGATGCCTGCTCGTAATCCACCACCACCACCACCACCACCACCAATACGACGCGCTCGTTAACGGCGACCTTGTCACCAGTACTTACCGCACTGCCGAACTCCATCACCCACTACTGGCATGCACCGAGCTCTCCTTATTCACGAAATAGCTGTACGGATCGCTGAATGGGCGGTTGCTCTCTCAGAGTTCGGTGACATCAATTTGTTAAACCTCGCTTTCACCTGCAAAGCATGGTCGGAAATCGCACTTGATGCACTATGGTCTACTATTCATGATCTCCACCATGTCTTGCGTTTGATACCTGGATATCGATATGCCGAGGGTGGCGGGGCCTACGGCTGGGTATGTCAATTCTTCGTCGGGGTGCAGTCATACTTGCCTGACGAACTTCTGTAGGGATTCACGCGTCCAATATCGCAGTTGGACCTGGATCGTTTTCGTTACTACGCAGGCAGAATCAGGACACTGGACATGGACTATCCGGGAGCGAAAATCGACGTCAGTAGCGTTCTCCGTACACTAAACATCCTCAAGCCTCCCCACCATCATCTCTTTCCCGAGCTCCGATCCCTCCGCTTCGAGTTGCATCCTATGCAGGCAGATCTTGCGGCTATCTGTATCGGTCCACGGCTCCAAACCGTCGAAATCCATTTCAGAGAATCTGACGAAGGCGAGGTCTGGATGACCTACCGTCCCGACGTGCTACGACGGTTCCTGCTCCAGCTCGTAAAATTTCCTACGCCTGTGATGATCAATGCGCTCAATCTTCAGCTGCCGACGCTAGATTATAGCCATTTGACGCTCGTCGCTGGATTACGCTCGTTGAGCCGGCTATCGCTCTGTACGCACAGCATGTTGAACGACCCCAAGTTCTTAGACTCCCTCCGCCAGGTTTGCTCCATGCCGTCCGTCGTGGATCTCATCGTTCACATCTACTGGTGGGGCCCGGAGAGAGATCATGACCATTCTGTGTGTTTCCGACCAGCGGCGTCCGTGTTCGGATCCCGCCATACGTACGCAGGTGGTCTCCCCAGTCTCGGGCAGCTCGCGGCGGTCGTTCCGGAGGCTCCCGAGATGAGTTGGAACGCGACCTGGGACGAGCTACCAGAAGAATGGGAGCCGATGTTCGAAGCCCTCTTTCAGCGCCCCGCGCACCTCCTTCGGTCCCTGGGTCTTCATTCCCGGTCGGCGCAGTCGGAGCAACCGCCCCCGACGGCCATGTTGCGCATGCCGCTGTACGATCAGCTCCGCGAGCTGAACATCTCCGTCCCGTTCGACTGGACGGACGAAGCCGTCGTCCACGTCGCGTGCTCGTGCCCGGCCCTCGCGTCCATGTCGCTTCTCTTCGACGATCATCCAGATGACAGCCAGCTATACCGCGTTTCCACCACGCCCCGCGTGCTCGCGTCACTCGCGATCACTTGCGATCGCCTGGAGCGCCTGCGTATCCACGTCAATCCGCGACTTCAACTACCAGAAGCACCAGCCACCCCGACGTCTGGGTTCGAGGGAAACACGCGCCTGCTCGAGCTGTACGTTCGATTCCTGCCTGCCTTTGACTACCCCGCATTCTTCGAGGAACACGTCAAAAAGTTATATCCCAAGCTTAAGAAAGGTCGTGAGGTGGAAGGACCGGCAATGCTGTGGAAAGCCGAAGGAGGACGCTAGCGCGGCGATGCGATTTGCGTCGTCGATTATAGACAAGCGGTCACATAAAACCTGCATAATATAACCGCCCTGTAACAATATTAACATGCAACAATCTAGTCCAATAATACCGATAAAGAGGAACTGTCCGAGGGTTCGCATCGTCTCCGCACAATGAGAGTGGATTATGAGGCACAACAAGTATCCGCCCCGGGGACCTTCCACCCCTTCGCCCTCCTCCTCCCTCCCCTCCCTCGCGCATCCAGCCGAATCGTGCCCCCGCCGTCCACATCATCGCTATCGAGCCCAGAGCGATCGCGCACGTGGAGCGTGCGCGCGTCGAGGGCGGCTTCGTACGCCCAGCGGGCGAGCACGCGCTGCGCGACGTAGGCAAACACGTCCGGAACGCCGTCGCCCGTCTTGGCGGAGGCGAAGAAGAGCTTGGGGCCCCGTGGCGCGCGCGGGGGGAGGGACGCGAGCGCGAGGGAGGGGAGGGAGTGCGCGTGCGGGTAGGGGTTGGTGGTGCTGGGGGTGGTAGAGGTGGACGAGTAGGGCCGACGCGGGGCGACGGTGGGTGCGTCGGAGGTGGTGGACATGGAGAGCGAGGCCATGCGGCGCGGGGTGCGCGTGGGGGACATTTCGAGCGAGGAGAGGGAGGACGAGCGGGTGCGGGAGCGCGAGCGGGAGTGCGCGCGGGAGTAGTAGGACGCGCGGGGCGAGGAGCGCGCGGATGAAAAGTGGTCGTGGAGAGAGAGTGAGAGCGAGGAGGAGGGCGTGTGGTAGATCGTCACCGTCGTCCGGGTCGTGCGAACGGTGCCAATCATCGAGGTCGCGGAACGCGAGTGCGAGCGGGAGAGAGATTTAGACTTGGAGGAGATCGCGATGGAGCGGGGGTGCGGGAGTGGGGAGGAGTTGGAAAGAGGGTGCGGAAAGGCTTCGCGGTCGGTGAGCGGCTCGTCGTGTGAGATGATCGAGTCGTGGTCGGATATAGGGGAGGGCGGATGGGAATCCGGGGGGATAAGCGTGTCGAGGAACCGCATGGCTTCTAGCTCAGTCACGATCGAGTTGATATAGCCGTCTGCTGCAGTTTGCGTAGCAGCGTTGTGGTTGATGCTAGATCCTGGTCTGGCAAGGTCCATCTTGTTCCCCACGACCACGCAGCAGAAATCCGCCGCCTCTTCGTCCGGCACTGGTGCCTTCGCGCGGAACTCGTCCCACCAACGCGTGAGGCTCGTCAAGGTGGATGGCTTGTTCACGTCGAAGATGAGGAGAACAGCGTCCGCGCCGCGGAAGAAGGCGGAAGATAGAGAGGAGAATCGTTCTTGGCCGGCAGTGTCCTACTGGCGGAGGGTCGGCATCAGCGTCGGTCCACGGAACAGGGGAATGGCTCTGACCCAGATCTGCAGCGTCACAGACTCGTCTGGTATGTGCGGGTGTGGAACCGTTTTCGCGATGAAGTCGGCGCCGATGGTAGCGCGGTATCCAGTTGAGAAACGACCCGAGATGTACTGAGCGAGATAAAGATGTTCATCAGTCGTAGATCTTTACGGGCGCTTGCATCGTCCTGGTTGTATGAGACGTACTTGACCGCGCAGGCTGGTCTTGCCGACGCCGGAGTCGCCGACGACGACGAGCTTTATGGTCTGCATGGTGGTGAGAGCAGAAAAAGCATGATTGCCTCGAACGCCGCGCTCCTTGGCAACTCACTTCCTCCCACTTCCACGAGCTTGACCACGACATCATCTCTCTCAGGCTTCACCACATCTGTCATTCCTATGTCTGTGACCCGATGCTGCTGCTGATGCTGGTCTTTGAGTTCGCCACTATCATCATGGCATAACGACCCCTTAGCTTAAGTTACTGCGGCGATCGTCCTAGTATCCATCACTCCGGTCTATGACTGCTCAGCAATCTACACTGTACACGCCATCCCGATGTATCTGAATCCACTGGTCCCGTCAGCAGATCCTTCTAAAGCGTCTCTGCCCCTCTCGCCTAGATCGCGCTGCTCGACTTGGGTTGGGGCAAGGACAGAAGGCGAAGTTCATCGACTGCGACTGCGACTGCGTACGGCCCGGGCGACGATAACATCAACTCTTTCACCACGCTGGACATTGGCTGCTAGGAAGACGTATTTCATACGCATATACCACCCCACGATGGTGCATTCTTCCTGAGCGATATTAGCGTCGCTCGTAGTACTTCAAAACAAACATGTTGAAATGCCAGGCTTAATCCATATACTCAGAGGAAGAGGTGCAGCTGATCCGGCCAACAACCGGACTATCCGGCGAAGGGAACCATGCTACATCATGCCGTAACCCGTCGACCGTTCATGAATGTATTTCTCAGAATCATCGTGGTCGTCTGAACTCTAGACCAGGACCTAGGATACGGAATATCGTCGGTGTTCATGTTTCTGAAGCAAAGGGCCAGACCATCGTCGTCCACTGTCACCAGGTTCGGTACCCTGTTACTGTCCAAACACTGGCGCACAACAATGTCCGAAACACGAGGCGCGAGTAGCACGCGGTAACGGAGCTCGAAACGCTGAATGATCGGCTGGAGAGTACCTCGCTTTTTTGTGACGTCGTCACGCTTCACCCGAGTCCAACGTTCAAGCGACCACCGTTGCCTACTCTCTGGAACTCGCAAACTTGCACATTCGTGTCGTTCGGTTGCCGGATTAACCGTACGATGGAGCATGAACCGATGGACATCAGTGATCCGGAAGCCAACGAACTTGACGAACTCGACGAACTAGTTGACGTTGGCCCTCGTTTCGACCCTGAAAGTATACTCAAGGCAGGCAAAGCTATGGCTCAGCAGCTCGAGGTCATGACGGAGAGGTGGAATCTGTCGCCTGAACGTGCAACCATTTGGAAGGCGGCTCTGCACAGGTCGGTCGAAGACATATCTCGTGAACGAAGGCTGACGCCCTATCTCAGCATTTCTGAATTTACCCTCCCAACGACGTCTATCGCAGTGTATGGGCGTAAGTAACAGCACACCGCCTTCTAGGTACATATATGACGTGATCCATAGGTACCGGAGATGGAAAAAGCACGCTTCTCAACGCACTAGTTGGCTGTAAGCGAGCGACGTCCGTCGTGATGTATGTTCCACGGCGCTGATCATACATCGCTCAGTGGACATCTTCCCGTCGTCAGCCACCGGTAAAGGTATGCATGACGTCGCCTGCGGTCTTGTACAATCTGAACCGAAGCACTCCGGCAGCCGCTACCGGTGCACCGATCGTTATATCGTACCACGACTCGCCTATGATCTACTGTGACATTCAGTTTCTTGCCGAAAGCGCATGGAAGGATCAACTCTCGCAGTACCGTACCGATATCCTAGATGGCGTCCCCATCAATGACGACGTCAGGAAACTGACTTGGAACAAGGTGAGGCGTGATATCTAGCATTCGCCCTCTATCTTACATGATTATTCACACTAGATCAAGGAAATATATCCTGGACTGTCCGATAAGGATATCCTCAAGATGACCCCCGACGAAAACATCTCGTACGATCCTTGTGCGTGATCAATTTTATCGTCCCTTTCCTACTCTAACAGCTGGCGCTCAGTCTCTAAAGCATTGCTAGGAGAAAAGGCTCATTTTCAAGGAAGTGCGGATACTATCCGCGAAAAACTGCGAGCCTACGTTGGACATGCCAAGCATGCCGGCTTGGATCAACCAAAAGGCGGGCTCCTGAAATCCGCAGTATCCTGTTTCTTACCTCCTTTCAGGCTGCGTGTGGCCGCTGATTGTCGATATTGATGTTCGCGCGAAAGTTGAACTACTCAAATATGGTTTGTCGATGATCGATTTGCCGGGAACTGGTGATGTCAATGCTGCACGCGAGCAGGTGACCTCTCACTACGGACAGAAAGCCGATGGGTTTCTTGTTGTGGCTGACATTCAGAGAGCTGTTACTACTTCTGAGCCTTTTCGTACGCATCCGATACCATATCCCAAGGTGCAGCATGATCTCATGCCAGAGACAGAGCACCTTAAGAACCTTACAAGTTCGTTATACTTCCTGCATACATGTCACCCGCTGTGACCTGACAAGATCTCTCCGCGATTTGTTATTTCCAGTGTGTAAGTCGACTAAAATCTGATGTGGAATTTGCGTTGATGTATTCGCCACATACCCTAGCTGTTGGGTGCGTATCCCCGACAAGCTGCTTCTTTCTTCCGCATGCTGGCTGATGTGGAAGTACTAGTCTTGACAAGGTCGTGTTTGTCTGTCAGTTACATTCGTATTCCTTGTCAACTGCGGGCTCAATAATCTTCGTCCATAAAGGCACAAAAGCGGACATGTGTAGCAACGATACCGATTTGCCTGATCACTCCAAGGAATCGCAATTATGGCTTGAGCTGTCCACCGATCGGGAGAGAATGGTCTCTCAGCGTGCCCAGAAGCAGGCGGAACTGAATCGTCTCAGCAATGTGGGCAAGGGTCAGCCTGCTTCTTGATTCAATGTTATACACCTCTGACTGACATCGACGGACAGAACGCAAAAAATCGGAGGGACTCTCAGAGGCCTTCGAGCAGCTTCAATCAACTGTCAAGGAATTGCAGCGCATCGAGTCATTGTTGGCAGACAATGACAAGCAGATGAGACGGTTTTGCACTGCAGAACGGTCTAAGGTAAGTAAAGCTCGTATCGACATGCGACTGCTATGTCAACGTGTACCTAGGACATAGTAATGTCACTGAACGAAAGGATCGCCGAAATTCTTGACAGGAATGAGGCTAGCATTTGCATGCCTCGTAAGCATCCGACCTCACAATCCTCGCCACATTAGATCCTGATGCCTTAACAGGTGTCTATTGTTGTGCAGCACGTCACTCTATCTTGTCTTGTGCGTGTATATGCACTCTATGCGCACGAATCCTCATCCTGGTTTTCGTAGCCGGGACTCATGCACCCAACGTATACAAGGAGATGGATGAAACGGGCATTCCTGCCATACGCCAGTGGTGCCAAAACCTGGGCTTAGCGGCATGTATCAAGGCCGTCATTGAGTTTATTGAGCAACTTGATATTCTTGTGGTTGATGTCCAGCGGTATCTCGATAATTCGCTTGTAGGGGATGCCTCATATCGCGCAGCCCTCCAAGAGGAATGGCAAAGCACGTCACATGTGGAAATCATGAACCATATGAAAGCACTTGCAGAGGCCGAGGTGGAAACTCTCAAGAAACGTTTCAGGCGTTATCTAAACGAATCCTGTACCATAGGCATCGAGAAAGTAAGATATTGATCCGATATGCAACGTTAACTAATGGCTGAAGTGACTGAAACCTACAGGCAAGTGACGCTGCGCTCCGCACTGCTGAGGATTTGTGCGACTCAGGATTACACCACAACACCGTAAGAGCAAGTTCGTATCCCTAATCCCTCTGTGGCATATAGTTTGTCGCTCACGTGAAACAGCTTTCCGTCATAACGGTGTCTTCCGGGAGAACTGGAACTACAAGCTGCTTATCCCGTTCCAAGATGCGATCATGCCTCAATGGAACTCTCTTTTCGCCCGACGAATGTTCGATGCACTCGAGGCCAACGTCGCGAAAGGCATCAAGAAGATTATCAAGCAAATGGCGCCTAAGACGAGCCTCACCGCCGGACCTCTGAAGCGCCAGTTCTCAAAGCAAAGAAAGAAGTGCGAGAAGAACGTTCGCAAGTCTATGAACATAGCATTGCGCCAGTGGGAAAGCGCCTTCCAGAAGGATCGCAAGGATCTCCATAGTTCAATGCACGAATGGATTCAAACACGCCTGGAAGATGTGTATCAGGAGGCGGCAAGTAAGAAGGGGCCTGGTAGCTCGAAAATCTCGAAGGTCTGGCAGCGGAACTCTTATAGCTATTCTGCCCACTCGCTAATACACTGTCAGATTCTATTTCGTGATTTCATAGGAGAAAGCAAGCGTGACATTTTCATCGATCTTGGCAAACACGTCTTCAATAGCCTCGATCGTACTGCAGACAAGGTACAAGCAATCATGACAAGGCGTCTGTGCGCCGTTGCAGATCAGGTAGGTACAAGAATGGTTGTTTTATCCGAACGTTACTTGATAGAGCCGGACAGTGCACGTTGGATATGGCATTACTGTGGGATAGACCGACGGAAAATATCGACTACACCCAGGACAGGGTGGATTTGGCCGCGATGCGAGAGGAACTGAAAAAATACCATTCATTGGCAGAAGAGAGGAGATATGATATGCTGATGAACGGGGTGGAAATGGAAGGGGAAGGAGTAATAGCGAAAACGGAGCAGGGAGTGGCGGTGAAAATGGAGAAGGGATTGATGTCGAAAACGGAGGAAGTGATAATTGGAACGCCGGAGGAACGAGGATTCATGAAGCAGGAGCATCCGTGACTTGAACTGAGTACATATGGTATGGTCCCGAAAATGCGCTTGTTGAATAGGTTATCGTACATTGCACCTTATCGTAACATATAGCTCGTATCTTATTGCGATAAGTGATCATGTTGGTGCAGGGGGCCGTCAATCCTGAGCGCTGTATCGTGTGCCGAACACACCCTCTTGCTTCGCCTTTATCTCTATGGCATGGGATTAACATGAATACTGAGACATTGAGTTTACTTGTATACGATACTCACGAAGAGCTAAGTGTGTCGAATGAAAACGACATAACGCAAGGTTTCCTGGAAGCCGGTCGAGTTATCCCTTTTCAGTCCAATCATAGAGAGGAAGATACTCGTACCCATTAGGTACCAAAGATTCGGGAGCCCAATCTCGCGAGCGTTGCCGCGGATTTCGCCCTCTGCGTTCAGCCCCCAGATGGGCTTGCACTTGTCTGCGATTTCCTTTCCGCTGACAGACGCGATCGCCGTCCGCGGATCACCAAAGCTGGAACAGGACACGATCAATATTACAAGAGTCAAGCGTGCTCGAATTGAGATCTTACCCCGTGGCGAAGATGACGACATCAGCGGGTATCTCGCTGCCGTCCGCAAACTTGATGCCAGACTTGGTGAAGCGCTCGATGCCGCTCCCGTTCTTGATCTTGATCTTTCCGTCGATGACCATCTGGCTAGCGCCGACGTCTATTGACACCGCTGAGCACGACTTGTGATATTGAATGAACCTGGAAAATCTCACCGAGGTAGTATCCTCCTCCGCGACTGTACGCCATGAGCAAGAAACCGGAGTCTTCGGGGCCGAGATTTGTCTTGAAGCCGACCTTGTTCAGGTCCTCGAGTAGTTTCCTATGACATCGTCAGGAATAGACGCACGTCAGTTTCAAGACGCAGAATCCGTACTTGTCAGCATCAGCGATCGCACGTGCCACGCGTTTGTGCATGTGCTTGAGGAAATAGTTCGGGAACGATGCACCCAACATATCGGCGACCTCGACTGGGACAGGCTGGTTCCAGTATACCCCTGCGGAGCATCGTCACCCAGGGGTCACACGCTGAAAGGGCTCAGCGTGGTAGACGTACCGAGCATGCGCGGCATTCCCTGCTTAGTGCTCATGATATATGTCGAGGAGCGCTGGTATATGGTAACGTCTAGGCGAATCGTCAACATCACCATGAAGATAGCCTTGGAGAACACCCACCGACGCCGTGTTCTACGTAGTCCGCGGCGATGTCATGACTAGAAGTACATGCGCCGACGATGACAACTTTCTTGCCAACGTGGTCGGTTGCGCGATGGTGCTGAGTTGAGTGCAAGATTTGGCCGCTGAACTCCTCCTTCGATTCAAGCGAGGTCAGAGCAACATGACACCGGGACCACCTCCATAACGCACCTTCCCGGGGATGTCAGGCATGTTGGGCACGCCGCCTGCTAATCCGAGGGCGTACACGAGGTGATCGACGGAGAAGGTCCGCTCCTTTCCGTCACCGCGTCTGACGACGACGGTCCACTTCTTCGTCTTTTCGTCTTGTTCAGTCTTCAACACCGTGGCCGACGTCCACACGTTCAACTCCATGTTATGCGCGTAAGCCTCTAACCAGTCCGCGAGCTGGGTAGATTCCGCTGACTGAGTGGCCTGAAGATGTGGTAAAGGGAGATAAGCGCACCTTCTGAGCTGGGGTGTAAACCGGCCAATTGGGAGGGAATGGTAGGTAAGGCATATGATCGTACCCTATGAACGAATGAAGTAACATCTTGAGGTCCGGTTCGCGGTACATAGTTCGGAGGCAACTCACAGACGGGGTCGTGGAGACACAAGGCCTCGTATCGATTCCTCCATTGGTCTCCGATACGCGCCTGCTTTTCCAGAACAAGAGTCGGGATGTCCATCAGCTTCAGCCTGGCAGCCGCATCCAGCCCGCTGATACGCAGATGTCAGTGTCCCATGATAACATATGTCAAACTCGAGCGCAGCTAACCTTTGTCCAGCGCCAATCACGATGACTTGAGGCTCGGTGTCTTCAAACTCCACCTCTCTACGCCGTTTATCAACCTATACCAACCAATGAGTATGTTTCGCGTGAATTCGATGGTACGTACTCACCCACTTGCCATGCGATGGGTTATGCTCCCGTAAGGGGCCGACTTTCTCCGGGAAGCCCTTGAGCTCTTTCAAATTGGTGAAGACAGTGTGCGCTTTCCACGCCAGGCCGTTGACCTCGTTCCCGGTCGCGCCATCGCCGGATACGGGGACGGGAACGAGTCTGAAGAGGCCAACACCGACACCGACCGCCGTCTCGAAGCCGAAGAACCCGCGGATCCAGGCGAGGTCGGGTGCCGGCCTATCGAGGGAGACGGAGGCGGCGTCCAGTTTGACGTTGCTGATCTTCGATTTATTGAGGCGATCGCTCAGGAACGGCTCGATGCGTTCCGAATTCTTGAATGTGCGGAAGTCCCAGGTGAGGGCGAGTAGGTCGCGCCAATAGATGTCCACGATCTTCTCGTCGACGAAGAGGTTCAAGACGCCACCTGCGTCGTTCGCCTCCATCGCTGCGCCAAAGCGCCTTACCCATTCGTCGGCAATGTCTTTAGCCGGGATGGAGGAGAGCGCCGTAGGCTGGACGCCTAGCTTGTCCAGGGTGGGGAGACAGTCGGTGGTGGACGCCATGTCGAGGGGGGTACGAATGAAGATGGGCGTAGACTCACTTAATCTTGGTCTGCTTGCTATCTCGCCGCCCAAGCCGCCCGTTACCGATCTCACGAACGATCGCTGCATGCCTTGGGATTGGTACGAGAACCCGACACATTCCCCGCGTTCCCCGCATTCCCCAGATCACGCGCCTTGCCGAACGCGGGGAGATGTCTCGGCATCATCCGGTCTGGGTCGGAAGCGGGTACAAGATTGGTCCATGACCATCTGACATTGCATTGCAAAGGAAGTGCTGAGACATTGTAGACCACATCATACTCGCAGTACAATCACAAGCCGGCCCGTCGCGTCATCGCTGAGGAGCACCTTGTCAGCAGTGTAGACCCGTTTCGTAGGGAGTGAAACGGCACCCTCCAACCCCTGAACCACTCTCGGATTCGAGCCCCCTTCGCCCGTAAAGGCGAGCTTGCACATCTACAGCGCTAGATGCGCAGCAAGGAGAGTGTCAGGTGGCTCCGAGATCAGCGATGTGCGTGAAAAGCCGATGCTTGAGGATGGTCACGCCCTCTAGTTTGTCATGATGACGTGGTGCCAGTATACAGTGCTCAAAGGCACCATCCGAGTGACGGGGATCATGCCTCTTTTGTGGTCGTACGGGAGCCCATAGGGATGCCCCGGCGCCCCTCGGCTAGTCTGATGCCCACTCCGTCGATGTGGTATTGCTCCCCGACGAGCTCCTTCGTGGCCACCATGAGGCGGTCCAACCTCGTCATAATGTTGAATGCGGTCGTCGTTGCCACGCAGAAGATCCTGGAACAAGGTCAGCCTGATGCCGGTCTCGACGGCAGGGAAGGAAGGCGCACAGATATTGCTCGTTCTCCAACGTATCGATGGTGACCGTCCGAGGGAGCCCGTAAGGATCGTCTTGGTCCGGTAGGAGGACATTGAGCCCATGTTGATGGAGCATGAATCGGTCGACCAGAGGGCATGGCGTGATCTGAGGCAGAGGATTCCCCGTGCGTAGTGCTGTGGTGATCAAACCTGCATTATCGTCAGCACACGAAAGTTCAGTTAGAAATGGATGATAACGTACTGATCACAGCTAAGACGTCCCCCTGGAAGTCGGAATCCAGGAATCGCGTGCGTTGGAGGAACGCATACGTCCATGGGCCGTCTAACTGCTCCACCACGGACATGAGGTTGCTTAAGAGATAAGCAATCTGTAGCTGCGTGTCGCAGATCTTCTGGTACCTTTCCGCGGGCCACTTCCCTCGAAGCGAGAACTACAGACATACAAGCAAGTCAATTTTCTGGTCTACTACGGAAGGAAGCGGCAAACTCGCCTCATATATTATGTTATCTTTGAGTGCTATGGACCGCTTCAACTTGGCTCGGATAGCGATGAGGCTGCGGACGATCTCCTGAGTGATGTTGTCCTTGCTCGGCCGCGCGTGATGAGTGACGGCGAACGAGATTATCGAACAGTAGAGGCATCCTAAGTCGGTGGCGGTGGTGGCTAGACTTGATCGCTGATACCGCCGCAGAGTTGTGGATGGAGGAAGGAAAGAGAATATACTGGAAAATGGCCATGAGTGTCGTTTTGCGTCGAGGAACCTAGGAAGAGACTACACACAAGGCTGCTGTCACCCCCGCGGTAACCAGGACGAAGCGTCTCTACATCGCTCAATGAATCAGTCTGTTCCTCCGCCGAGGAGGTTACGCCTACCCATGCCACTGCCCAACCGACACCAGGGGAGCCAAACAGAGGGAAGTGGGTGTCCTGCCACGAGTAACCGACAACCTGTACGAACGTCATCAACGTCAACGCTGGCTCAAAACCGGCTGGGACTTACTAGCATAGCTGTCACGAAGAAGATGATCTTTGTCATCGGAGGGACCGGCCAGTATAGCCTCCCGAAGAACATGAAGGGAAAGAAAATCGCGGTGACGGCGCCGAGGCCGTACGGGCTGCCATGGCCTGCACCGGTGGAGATGTACCTAGTCAAATACCGTCAACTCGATACGTGGAGCAGCACGGAGATTAGTTTGTACCACATGAGCAGGCCAAGCACTCCGCCACCAAACGTGCTGAAGATGCGAGCGGTGAGGCCGAATGTCGTGTCTCCGCGAAAACGCGCCAGAGTAAGCTGGCCCATGAAGCTATGGACCGGACGTCAATGGAAGCGTCGGAACGGAAGTACGAAGTAACTAACATTCCCCAAATGAACCGGTTTTCTGCGACGAATCAGCAAGCAAGCACCCCTCGATCGAGGCAATCCACTTACCATAGCCGAATTCGGCAGACGACTGGATGAAGATCGGAAGCGCGAGCACGACTGAGAACAGAACCTTGAGCTCATGCATCAGTGAGTTCCGGAGGAGACCGTGCTCAACTAGTCAATACGCCGGCTTTGATGGCAAAGACAGCATTGCCTCTAGTGAGAGCAGCAAGATTGCGATATAGGAAGTTCATGACCCATTCGAATGGGTTCGCAGGGGGCATGGCATCTGGATCTCGACCAGCTGTCTGGCCCAGATCCTCCGGCCAGTGGTCGCCTATACCTTGAACAACGTCTAAGGGGTGTTGGCGTTGTCAGATACTTGTCACAGAATGCATGAACGAAACAACCACGAACTTGGATCTTCGTCCTCCCCTCGATCCTCGGCTTCATTATAGGTGGTGTACGACTGCCATAAGACATTCGCTCGGGATAGCCACGAAGTCGGGTACCACAGACGACTACGTCCTGCATTCTCTTCCACCTTCAATATGCCGCCGAGCTAGAGAAAACGGGTAGAGAGTCAAAAACTACTCAAAGCTAGGATTAATGCTATCGCCTGGACTCACCACGTCGACCAGATTCTGAGAGAATCGCATCAGATGGTACTGATACACATAGCAGTGGAAGAGGTATCGATGAGGTGGCGTGTCCATATCGTCCGCTCCCTGCCTCGGGTCCAACGCAACGCGATAGGGCTCCAGAATCGCGTGCCTGTCACGACTTTAATCAAAATCGGATTCTGAGTCACTTCAAAGCGACCCACCTCTTGACCTCCCTAAAGAGCCTCAATTCATCCACCAGCGCCGCATGCAACTTCTCAACCTCCTCCCTCCCTTCCTTCCAACATTTCTCCCTCTCCCTCCCTCTCTTCCATACCATCACCCAGTCCCATCGGTCCTGCCTCACGACGTCCAGCCATCTCTCGACACCCTTCAACCCGTCCAAGTTTGCGCTCAGCAGTCCGTCGCAGCTCTGCCCGAGAAGCTCAACCGCCCGCGTCAACAAACGCTCCCCACTCGGATGCGCGTAGTGTCTGTTCTCGAGGCTTTGGTACCGCTGGGACTCGAACACTCCCACAAGTGGCTCGTTCCGCTGGAGCGCAAAGTGAAATAGCGAGTTGTGTAGGCTGTGATGGTGGTTCGCGCCGGTCGACACGGGAGCACGCGCGTGGTGATGGTGGAAGCGCGACATGTTGAAGGGTGAGTGTGGATGGTGCTGGAAGATGTCGCGGAAGTGTGCGTGCGCGCTTGAGTCGGTCCGGGAGGCGTTTTGACGCCTTCGACGCGCGTTCCCGGCCTTTTCCCTATCCTTTGTATAAGTCCCCGATCCGGTTCCAGTTCCCGTGCCCGTTCCCGTAACCGATACCGGGGACGTTGGCGTCACCTGGCCACTCTCGAGGTCATCCCGCCTAGGTGACGGACTGGGGGGCCTGCTCTCCCTTGGAGACCCCGGAGGGCTTCCAGGCGAGCTTCCGGGCCTGCTCGGTCCTGGCGTGCCCACCCTACTTTGCGCCGGGCTGCCAACGCGGCTAGGGCCTGGCGTCATCGGGAAGCGCTCACGAAGGGGATCTACAAGCGCGAAGAAGACGCCCATCCCGTTAGCGCGCACGCTCAGCCGACGGGAGTCGGGCTGGAGGCTGGTCAGATCTGCAGGACCGATGCGGCCGTAGGTGATGTCGCGAGTGATGAGCCGCGTGGAAGCGGCGAGCGGGACGAGCGCGCCTTCGGACTGCGCGACGGCGGTGCGGATGGAGGAAACGGTCGAGGCAAACGCGGGCGAGTGCGGGTCTGTGCCGAGTGCGGCGCGATGCAGGGTGAGCGAGGTAACCAAAGGGGTGAACACGGCCCGGAGGCGGGTGCGATATTCGCCCATGACCGTTTCTGGGAAAAAGAAGAGCGAACAGAAGAGCGCGACGGCAGAATGGATCGCGACGGGGACGACGATGGTTTTGCCGAACTTTCATCACTGAATCAACGTTTGGAAGTGCTCGAGAATGAATCGTGACCTACAAGGTAGTATGCGTATGGAAACAACGGCGCCGATGTCAGAGAGATACCTGTTCAGAGGTATGAGTTATTGGCGACAGACAAAGGGACAAGGAATCAAACGATGCCAAAACGTACTCAGGCAGATACAGGACAGAACCGTCGCGAATGTATACGGACCCGGACCTTTCCCTTTAATATACAACATGGTTGCTGAACCTATGAACATAAATATGGCCATAATCACTGTTACCTATCAAGCACGCGTGAGCTCCAGAAGCTCGCAATACAAGGTGGAATGGTAAAAACACACCCGCCATTCGATGTATTGACCAGAGAAGATGCTGGTGGAACTCGCGTTGGGGACGATATGCCTTCGAGTTAGGTTGGCCAGTTTAATACCGAGGCAACTCCATCTGACAACGCGTAAGGGTCGTTAAGCACGAATCTGAGACTCGAGTGCGAAATAAAACTCACGCCCATGAAGTAGTGACGAACAGCAAGATGAAGAACTCGCGCTCCAGGACGGCCATGAACTGGTCGCTTGGCGGTGATAGGACGGAAGCTATTGCAATCATTGTCATAAGGGAAGACTGTATGCGGAGAAGATGGGTAATTACCGACTAGGATGATGAAACTAGCCTATATGCGCATCGAGTTAACATCAGTATTCCCGTGGACACCGTAAATTGTCTCATACCTGACCCATGGACTGTTGAACAGGACGGATGAGAAGGAGAACTAGAGATAGCCAGGCAGCTAGAGCGCTCCTAATCGCAGGCTTCAACTTCGACCACGTCGCATTGGCCGGGATCCACCGAAGCTGCTTTGGTACGGTAAAGATAGGAGCCCTCCGTGTCGCCTTCGTGACCTCGCTATTCCCCTTCTCGTTCGCATCGCCTCTGTGTCGAGCAATGTCCCCACTGCTATTCCTGCTCGCCTTCTCCTGTACGATCTCTTGCTGCTGCATTTCGGGGTCTGAAGTGCGACCAGTACTGCTTCCGTCACCTTGGGCGTCGGTGGCGTCTGGGCTGGGTTCGTCGGCGATCGACGGCGCCTGGGCGAATGAAACCCGGTGGCTCTCGTCCGGTCGCCGAGCGATAGGGGCATGGACAGGAAGTGGTGGCGAGTTGTCTTCGCGCATATATGCGGTCGTTGCTCCTTTCGGTGTAGTGCACAGTTGTAAGTCGAGCGTCAAGGTCACGATAGATGACTCGAGGGGAGGAGAATTGCTAGGTCACGACTAATCGTCGACCCGGGCCGGATACTAAACGGGGGTAATCGGGCCTTAGCATGCACGGGAAACGGCGATAAAGATGGGAATACGTACGTATGTCTCCGTAACGCAGAGTCCCGCCCAAGAACGTCAAGAACGATAAGGACAACCAATGAGAGATCGCTCGGACTAATGCAGTTTTTCGAATGTATGCGCGGATGTAGCGCGACGAATGGGTGAACTCGTGATATGCGATTACAGTCGATATAGTATGAGGTTCTTCCGTTCGATGGCGCGTCAGCGAGCGCTGCGATTATAGAAAAGGTAGATTGGTCAAGAAGCCGAAACAAGGCTGCGGGATGCCGATGAGGTCGAGGTTAAACCCGCTTACGTCTGCACAGCCACATTACGTACGCGGGTCGACGGCTTGCTGCACAGCTGTATCCTCACATGCAACGCTCCTCATTCACACATCTTTCCACTCGGACGGCTTTCAGCCAGGAGACTACAATCCATACTCTCACGTGTCGCCCCGGAAACAAGAACGTAAGTGGTCTTGCTGCGCGAAGAAATTTGAGAGAGTCAGAGCTCCGACATGACCGCATTTACTGCGAGAAGTGTCATGTGTAAGGGAAGGGGCGCGAGTGACTCCGACGATAAAACCGGGGAACGACGTGTAACACTGCTTGAGCAATCATGAGGTTGCATTGATACCTCTTCGAAGTCGTACCATACTGTAGGTATTGTGGTAACAGCGGAGGAGTCTGTATCTTCGCAGTGAGGCGCGTAGATGGTTCATTATGCAGTGATGCTGAGGCCCTGGGTCCTGATAGGATGTACGAGTTCTAAGAGTACCATTGCATGCGTGGGCTTTGCGAGACTCACTGTTCACCACCTTACACGAGCCAGTATTCCATATCTCTTGAAGACATATAGCGCTCTGAGACACTGCTCACGCAGGAATCATGAGCTCCCCCCATGTCCGTACGGCAGCGATCCCGCCGAAGAAAACTAGGACACCCGTGAGGATGTTGATGTTCCCCGGGAGCTATACAATGTATGTTAGCTTCACAAGTATCAGACAAGTCCACGTATGTCATAAACACACCTTTTCGGGAGACCAAATCTCCTGGCGCATGAACCGGGAGAACGCGCCCTCGTTCGGGTCGACTCTCCTGGCAGAGTGGCCCTGGAGGGCATACATGTTGGGTGCAGCTCCGCGGCGGTTCATTGTCAGATTCGGTAACCGATAGAGGGGCGAAGAATGAGAAGCTGTGAGTTTTGGACAGACGACGTCGAGTTGCTCCGGACGGTTGAGAGGAGAGGAGTGCGCCAGCAGCCGACGGCTGCGCCACAAAAAATAAGACCACGTGCGCGTGAGCGCCTATTGAAATTTCGCCCAACGTCAGCCCGTTCACAAAGTCCATGTGGCAAGCGCGTGCTGAGATCGCCATAATACATACATCGATAGTACAGACGAACGAGACAAAATTTTTGTTGGTTTCAATGTGAACGCGGTCAAAAACGAAGGACGATCGGATCGGGTCCCTTGCGATTCGCGACGGACAGGTGCAAAGACGGGGGGCCTGATCATGATGATTGCAACAAACGTCCTATCATAGCTTCGCCGTGCTCTTGATAGAAAGGGGCGCAAACGTAGGTGGCGCCTTTGTCTTGAAAGCAGTGAGGGCGTCCTCAAGATCCTGCATCCGCACTCAGCCAAGTCGTCGCAGCCCCACCGAAGTACCTCCTCACCTTGGTCTGCAACATCGCCGAGTTCCACACAGCGGTATACTCCAAGTTCTCCCGAACTGAATGATCCCTCGCATGAAGCAATAGCTTCTTCGTACCCATGACAGCGACGGGGCTCTTGCTCGCGATGACCTTCGCGACCTCCAACGCCGCCTTGCGCACCTGCACGTAGTCGCCATCAACCACCTTAGATACAAGTCCCAGCCGAAGCGCTTCATCTGCATTGAAGGAGCGCGCGGTGTATGCCAGCTCATGCAATAGGGACGACGATCCAGTGATCTTGGGCGTGCGCGCAAGCGTGCCTATGTCAGCGGCAAGACCAACGTCTGCTTCCTAATGTGTAGAACATTAGCACAATTCTAATATATGTTCACCCTTGACTGACTTTAATGGAGAACGTAGCATCACGAGCCGCGTAGCGTATATCACAGGCTGCGATTATGTCGATGGCGAGACCGAAGGCTACGCCGTGTACTGCAGCAATAACGGGTACGGGGCACCGCTCAGGAGCCGATATCGCGTGTTGGAATGAGAGAATCTCAGGGCGTAGTTGGTAGGCTGTCCGTGCAGGATCGGTTGCCGTCGGAAGAGTGGATAGATGGTTCACTTGTAGCATTCCATGAGACGAAAGTTATCATAGTAAACGGGATATGCAAAGCCCACCATCGATACCGGCAGAGAACAGCTTTGGCAGCGCTGAGGCTAGCACTACGACGCGCACGTCCCCGTCGTCGCAAATAGTGTCAAGGATAGCACTGTATTCTTCCCAGAAGCTGAGTCCACATGAGCGATGATGCATTGGAGCATGGCAATGAGCTAGCTACGGCTGAGTGAAGGCATTCACTGGTTTTCTTGAATACAATCTCAGTGAGTAAAGAGAGCTCGAGCAAAGTGATCGTACGCAGCCTTACCGAGTCAACTCCAGTAGGGCAACGTGGGGATAAGGAAATGATACGCAGATAAATTGCGGTTGCGGTTTTCTTGTCGGTGCCATTGCTGTTCGTGAAGAAAGAAGAAAGAAACAAGGGCGAAAGGGATGTTCACGGGGATCGTATGTCAACGCGCAAAGCGTAAATGCGGGACGCGACCGGCATCGGCTATATATGTAACCGGTATGTCCGTACGCATCGGCCGCACAAAGTTCGTGGCAGCGACTTGTCGTAATTTACATCATTTCTCACTTGTTCTCCGGTCCTCTCAGTCTCCTCAACCATGTCTGTGAACCCTCTCTCCGACCCTCTTGATCATGCATCTAGTCGCCGTCGCTCATCATTTTCAGCGACGAGTCCTCCTTCCAGTCCCCCACAATCTGCTAGCTTGAAAAAAGTCTTCGGCTCCACTGATCCATTTGATCTCTCCGCCGGGCCAGGAAGCGAACAGCGCCGTTTGGATGTCTTGCAGTCCTGGGACACACTTTCTGCAACGGGTTCCCTTGTATTAGAGCACGACTTAGGCACTACATCTGTATTAGAAGAAGCGAGGGCGGGAGGAGACGTTGCTTCCAAGCACTCGGGATCGGTGTATGATGTATCAAGAGTCAATGCGCCGTCAACGCGGGTGGATCCTTCAGCCGTGCTCGAGGTGGTGGAGGATATTTCGCCGGAGATGCGCGCGAAGATACGTCGTCAAGGTCGGGTGCACTTCGTGGTGCTTTGCTGGGTGCTCTTCCTCAATGGCTGGAACGACGGCTCGGCTGGCCCGCTCATCCCGACAATTCAACGCGTATATCATGTAGGTCATCATTCACGATCCCTTCATCCACCTCTGGTTCCCCCCGTGTCTCTTACTCCTTGCGTTGCTGGCTCGCTCATACGTATGAGTAGGTCGACTTCGCGATCGTGTCTCTAATCTTCGTGTGCAACTGCGTGGTATGCGTTTCTGGCATGCACGGACTGAAGCAAAGATTGATCGAATTACCTCACAGGGATTCATTGCAGGCGCGCTTGCGAACGTTTGGCTCGCGGACAGAGTTGGATTTGGGAAGGTTAGCCTCTCCGCTAACACCTAGTGCTCTGGTGTACTAAAGCGTAACGCAAGGCTATGTTCCTCGGTACGCACATCACGACAGCGGACATGGCATGCATCTGAGATCACGCCAGGCGCCTCCTCCACGACCATTGCCTACGCCATTCAAGCTCCTGCGCCGTCATTTCCGGTTCTCGCCGCAGCATACGTCATATCAGGATTTGGCCTCTCCATCCTTGTATGTTCTCCCTGACATGGTCTTTTGGGTTTCGTAAATCATTCACGGACAGCAACCAGAACGCGAGCGCGAATGGATTCGTAGGAAGCCTTAAAGAACACGTTTCTACGAAACTATCTTTCATCCATGCGTCTTACGGTACGTGAAAATACCATAACCCCTTTCATCGGGCTTCTCACATGTAGGTCAGGTATCGGCGCCTTCGCAGCGCCCCTTGCGGCAACCCACTTCGCCTCGCAACGACGATGGAGCTTCCACTTCCTCGTATCGCTCGGCATCTCTGTCATCGCGCTCACGCTCGTCGGGGTCGTGTATAGGTTCAGAACCCTCACTCGTACGTCTTCTAACCCAAAATTCCGATCTGTCTAACGTACATGGCAGAACTTCTGCGTGAATCTGGGCACGCCGAATCCGCCGAAGGAAACTCGTCGGATAGCAAGTACTCCCAAATTTTCCGCATCAAGCTCGTGCATCTCCTTGCTCTATTCGCCCTCGTCTATGTTGGGACAGAGGTGACACTAGGCGGCTGGATTGTAACGTTTATCATCGAAAAGCGTGGGGGAGGGCCAAGTGCTGGATATGTCAGCTCCGGATTCTTCGGTGTAGGCATTCTGGTCTCCGCTCGAACGGACAAGCAGCTGATGCTCACCTTCAGGGTCTGGCACTCGGAAGGGTGCTACTGATCGGCGTGAATCGTCTGGTATGTGCTGGGAACATGGAGGAGGTTGCGCCCTCTAACGGCAACAGGTTGGCCCGCGCCGTGCGCTGATGATCTACGTGACATTGTCCATCGCGTGCGTGTATTCATCTAACACGGCAAGCTTCGCTGCATCGCATCGCTGACTACTGGTGTAGGCTCCAGATCACTGTTTGGCGCGTACCGTCGCTCGTCGAGAACGCGGTAGCCGTGTCGGTCATCGGCTTGCTCTTTGGACCAATGTATCCCATGCACGTCTTCTGTTCCACTCCGTCATTTTGCACGCTAACGTCCGCTTCGTAGCTTGATGAACCACGCCAGTCGGGTGATGCCGAAGTCAGCTACTCACCTCCCGGCATCGTGCATGAACCATGACTGAAATGACGGCATCTTAGATGGCTACTCACAGGCTCCTTGGGTTGGATCGGCGGCGTTGGAAACAGTGCGTTCTATTTCTTCATTACATTGTTCCCCGCACATAAGAGTGCTCATGTACGGACGATGACGCAGCTGGCTCGGCCGTGTTGCCCTTCATAACCGGTATCCTTGCTGCACGATTCGGAATTAATTCACTGCAGCCCTTGTAGGTCTTGCTACTGCGCTTTCCGTTCGCGCATGTGCACTAATGATATTTCGCAGCCTCGTAGCGATGATGATACTTTTGTTTTGCGTCTGGGCGGCGGTGCCCAAGAGCCCGCGCCGACCCGAGTGATTCTGGAATTGCATGTAACAGATTTCATCGTCCGCAAAACATGGGTGCTGTCCGTCAGAGGCCGGACACTATACCGTAATCAATGGGTACTCTCTATGTCAAAATAACATCCAAGAGCTGTTGCCGTCCCGAAGTAAACTCGAATGAAGTGAACAGCATACTCGGATTCCACGCGCTTCGACGAAAGGCCGCAGGATCCTGAAATGGGGTAGACTATGACGCTCGGACCAAGGTACCCTGCACCTCTCGTGTGCATATCCATGAAAACAACCAATTTTGATATCTCAGATGCGTTTCCAGCCATTCGTGGTCTTCGACGCAGCAGAGTGCGTGGTCGACATCCCGAGGGGTGCGGCAGCAACCACGAACAAGCAACACGCTCAACCGCGGACGGTGTCGTCTTCCTACGTATCTGGAAGATAATCCGTATGCGAACCGCCTCAAGTTCGTGAGTGGTCACTATCCTTCAGAAGCGTTATGACTTCGACATATCATTATCTCTCCTTCAGTTATGCGGCTTGGCACTGGGCCTCGGGTGCCTGCACAACTTGAGCATAACACACGGAAATCTCAAAGGCGTAAGCATGTTTGTATATCTCTCGGCCTCAGAACTATTAATGAACCACCTTCCAGGTCAATACTCTCATGGACGACGATCTAAAAGCACGACTGGCAGACTTCGGTTTGATCGTGATTGGTACCGAACCTTCAGTAACCCAGTGAGACTATATCACGACTGCACTGAAAGCAGGATCTGAGCGCTGGATGGCTCCTGAACTAATCGACCCGGAAGTGATTTGCCTGCCGAACCCATCGTCGTATATATACGCGTTCGCTATGGTATCCTCGGAGGTGAATTTCGTTTCAAGCTTCAACAAATGTCGCTCACTCATCCATGCTGACAGATGTTCACCGGAGATTATCCATCCTCCGAAATTCGGACGGAGACTGCCGTGATCCAAAGGGTATCTCGCGGAAATCGCCCCCAACGCCCTCTCGATGGGAGCGTTGGGTATGAGTCGTGCTACCCATCGGCGAGAAAGCTCACGCCGAGTTTGTCCCTACGCAAGCCACGCGACGGAGGATAGCGCAACATGGACGATGACCCATCCGCTTTGTCTGTGTCGTTTAGGAGTGATTATCCAAATAATCCTCACCAACTGTTTCGTCACCGATGTAGTCATTGGAGGCATATACAGGACTACTGTGTTAGCATAGGTAATGGATGTCCGTCTCAAGTCGCCAAAGAGGAACAGTGGGGAAGCGTCTGCGTAGATAGCCTCAGAGCAAACTCGGCTGCCGCCCCTCTCTCCTCTCTCATACTAGTCCGGGGAGAAACACACCGCATGCACCCACTCACCCACGTCCTTCAGCGCATCTGTTCGCTCAGGCTCGTGCCAAGCGAAACTGCAGAAGTCGTGCGTCGCGTCCGGCTTATCTATGAAATGTACCGCGTCTGCTCCCGATTCCGCTACGATCCTGTTGCGCAAAGTGACGACCGGGTCGTATGTCTGCTCCGCGCCACCAACGACGATGCACGTCTTGGGAAATCCTCGGAACAAGCCCGAGACGCGCTCAGGTTCGAGCGAACGGGAGGCGGGCGCGATCCATGCCATCGCCTCACGATCGTGCACGCTCAAGTTCCCTGTCAACGCGCGGTACGTGTATCCCGACGCGACGATGGGCTCCACGAAGTCGGATCTTGCATTTCTGGCCATCGACGAGTTCGGCCCGATGTGTGTGTTCGCAAAGTCGACCGTCGGGGAGAAGAGGAGGACAGCGCCGGGGAACGGCAGGTCTTTGAACTCGAAGGCGATGAGGTATCGCACGAACCATACCGCGAGGGCGCCGCCGGCGGAATCGCCGCTGATGACGACGTTTTGACTCGTGAACCCGAGGGTGTTGACGAGGTAGTTATATCCGGCGACGGCGTCCAGGAGAGGGGCAGGAAAGGGATTCCGAGGTTCGAAGGGAGGGCCGGCCGAGATACGGTATTCGAGGGCGAAGATGCGCGGGGTGGAAGGAAAGTACTGCTGGAAACCGGCGTACAGATCCTTCATCACTCCTTCTGTAGGCTTTCCTGCGCCCATCTGCGGAGTGTGCGGTACATTAGCGAAAGAAGTATCAGCGTGCACATGCGTATGTTCGTACCACGAATCCTCCTCCTGCAACATTTATGCATCAGGTTTGTACGCTTGAACGCTCGATAATACAAACACGTACCATGTAGATGATAGACAACTTTCTCTCCTGCCTCTGCTTTCTGCCCTGGCTTTCCGTCCGCACCCCTACGTCCGACCCAGTATCCAGATACATCTACGGCACTGACTCCGTTTGCCTCAGCCATGCGCCCAACTTCCCCTTTAACATACTGCGGTGCCGCATCCACCGCGACCAATCCGTCAGCATCCGCCGACTGCGCCTTTGGGTCCGGAGGCACCCATGTAGGTATTTCGGTGTCCCATAGTACGTTCACATACACGCGGAAGAACTGGACGATCAACGATCGGGATAGCGTCCAGCTCGGGCGTGGCCGCGCAGCGGGGATAGCGTAGCGAGCGAGCCAGTACGGCAGTCGGATAAAGAGGATTATCAAAATCGTCACAACGAGGTAGAAAAATCGGAGCGGCTGGCGCCGAAAAGAGAAGGCCATGGCAAAGGCTGTTTTGGGCGATCATTCTGTGGGCATCATTTTATGGGTACGAGCAGGTTGGACAGCATTTCTGAAGCCTCGAAGAGTGGTGATGACAAGCAGTACACAGACGGCCGAGCGCCGTGGGAAGATCTCGCGGGGTCGAGTCAACGGCGACTCGACGCACATTCGCAAGAAACCTCATGCTTGCGCTAACATGAGCTCGGGAACAAATCTAAAGTCGATGGAATAGTTACAAATCACGAACATCAAGCTGGGCGCAGAGCACCTGCACGCCGCACTCCTCGCAACTCGGAGGCGACAACCTCACTCGAGATTGCCTATCAGCAGACCGGTGGTGCTCCAGCGAGATAGGTGACATTGTGTTACGGCACTCGTAGTCACCAGAGCTTGCCCTTACTTGGCCGGGTCTGAAGCTCGAAAGGAGTTAAGGGACGGTACCTGACAACTCGGCATGCTGCCGCGGGCCAGTGCATACCTTGTTGCCGGATCGGGGAAGGTTGAACTATGCAATCGTGCGCTACTGCGTAGCTGTTGGGCTCTCCGCGCGCAGATACGAAATGCAGCAGCGAGTTACCGTACTTCAAACCGAGTCTGCAATTTGACCGATGAAACACTGACAATCGCTTTTACCTTCGTAAGTAACCCCTTCCTACCCTAGACCTTCCTCGGAAGTCCCTTGACAACGTCCCGGAGCCTAATCAAGCCGATTCTCTGCGTCACTGTTGGATATGATTCAAGCTCTGGTTCTGGGCTCCGAATGGCCGGCATCTTGGCTTATCGGTTTCGTAAAGTACGCGATCATCGAGTTCAGGCTCCATCAGGTGTGACTTCATCTGTGCTATAATCGTAGCGGCAGCTCACACAGCTATCTGAACCTAATCGTGGCTGAAGTCATGCGAGCGAAGACGCCAGTAGGTCCGTCTCCCTATATGATACCGAGAGGCTGAATGAATCTGATTCTTTCCTTTAGAGACACAGCAGCGCATTCCTGTGTATCCCTTTTTAAATATTCGAGCATGGCGACACCGGACACCGATATGGACGTCGATATAACACCATCGTTAGAACCTGGGAAGGTTATCACAACAGGACAGGAACATCTTCGACGGTTAGGCGATATTGTCAAGTTATGGAACGTCTCCATCGACCGTCGAACATCCTGGAAAACCGATCGGGGCAGGTCAGACACTCAAAACCAGAAAGTACGGCTAGCATTACTGACACACGTCATCTAGACTCTACAAGTACAAGCTCCCAACGTTGACCATTGGTGTCCACGGTAGTGAGTCTCTAGCGGATTGTCCCTACGCAAATTCGTATTAATCCTCTGAAGCGACGGGCTCAGGAAAGAGCACGCTGATCAACAACCTCCTTGACTGTTAGCGCCCCTGAGTTGCTTACTTTGGAAGACTGTTGATTTCTATACATTATACAGGTGACATCCTTCCGACTGGAGCATCTGGCGAAGGTGAGAGAGCACCCGACTCCCTCGTGCGCCGTTTCCTGATTATTTGACTTATGATATAAACGTAGCTGTCACCAGTGTTCCGATCTTCATATCGTACCACGACGATATCGATGCTCGTTGCGTTATCGAATTCGTGGATTTGAAAACCTGGAAGACCGAGATCGCGAGGTTCTTGGATGATTGTACAGACACTGACGGTGTTCGTGACGTCGAAAGAAGCATCAAACAAAGCGAAGATAATGCGATCAAGTCAGTTTGGGACAAGGTAGCTGCTATGGATCGTTTTCGTTACCGCTAAACACCTCATCCATCTTATCCAGATTGCGTCCATTTATCCAGGTCTGTCAGCAAGGAAAATGAACAACATGACACCAGAAAACGTGCTAGAGTATGATCCAGGTTTATACATTGACTTCAGAATATCGAATACCTCTAATCCTGAATTTTGCAGCATGTACTTCGTTACTCGGTACCGAAGAAGTGATACGAGGAACCACAGGAAATGTAGCCAATCAACTACGCTCATATGTCACGCAGATGAGGCCACATTCCGGGAGTAGGCTCACAGGCGAGTAGATCGTGTTTTTGCCTCATCTGTAATTGACACATGCCTAGGTCATCTGTGGCCTATAGTTCGCCATGCGACCCTCCATTTAAAGGTCGACTTCCTCGAGACAGGGATACGCCTCATCGATCTTCCGGGAACAGGTGACGCAAACACAGCTCGAGAACGTGTTGCGCTCGACTATCAAGATAAAGCCGATGCCTTTTTCATCGTCTCACCTATCACAAGGGCCAAGGATGACGGACCGACACTCGGTATATGTGGATCATTGTTAGGTATTCGCAAACTCATATGATACTACAGATATGGTGAAGTCTTTGTCAAGTAGGTTTCAAGTCACCCGTTATTACTAACTTACGCTCATCTCTTCACAATTAGTGGGTGAGTTCCTTCTCACCAATAAGTATGTCTGCTTCTCACAGCTTGTTTTATTACACCAGCTGTTGGGTAGGATGAGACTACGTATTGAATGCACTGCAGCTGATTGTGTGTTATTAGCGTGGACAAGCTTACAATTATATGTCAATGATACCCATTACACCTTTGTAATTTTTGCTCATCGTTGTGACACCAGGTACACATTCGGATTCAAATCCTGAAACTGTCTTGCGGGACTTTCAACCGGAGGAGTCCGTGGAATGGGATATGTTGTCTCACCGTCGCGAGGCATATATGAACAAGTTGAAGGAATGCAAAGATAAACTCTGCAAGCTGAAGCTTGGGTGCGAGGGTATGCTAACATGAAACGTGCTAAGGTGTATCAGGCTGAGAGCTCACTACTTGAATCTTAGGCCACGTCTCAGCCCAGACCTCTCGATTAGAGAAAGAAGTCGGCAATTGGAGCGCGTACCTCGCGGATGTAGACAAGGCCAGACTCCGTATCTGTATGGAAGCTCGCGGAAAGGTTTGCACTTCACTCGATGTTATGCTACATTGTACCCATCACATACTATGCGGTTCACCTGGTTAGTTTGTGAAGAAAGGGTTGCGAAATAGACTTTCCACGATCTTGGGAGATATAGGCAAGTTGATCAATCAGTTGTGCGTTCATAACTGGAAATTGACCTCGCCTACAGATAGCAGACAATTGAAGGTGTTTACCTGCGCTTCAAAGTGTCATAGTGATGTCTCAGGTATGCCATTGTATGAGCGATAACAAACACGAGATATCTTACATTGCGAAAGGTGGCGATTTTGGTTATTCCAGTCCCGATACCACCCCGGATTCCGGTATCTGCGAGCTGCGTGCTTGCTGGAAGGCGTTATCATTGAGAATGCGCAACGACGCTCTCAAAAGCTTTATTGTCCCGTTTTCCATCCATGTCAATGATTGCATTGACTTTCTTGACCACACGTTAAGCAGTGGTCGGCTGGAAAGGAAGTCCCTCGGGACTGAGTGGGAGAATAAGGTAAAGCCTGAACTGAAGCGGGCGCTCAGATCCTTGGTCAAGAATGAACAGAAAGCTCTGAAGCGAGTTTTCGATGACTCGGGTATACTCGTTGCCTGTGTCAAGGGTATTTTCGAGGTGAATCACTTACCTGTCTTCGGCGAAGATTCCCATCGATTAATCAATGCAGGGAGTTGGGAACTGTTCAATTGTTGTGGATGCATTGTATAGGAAGGCGTGGTCAACCGTACGAGCAAGTGAGCCTTCTTGTCTTCAGAACCGATGGATGGTTAATCTTCGCATCTAAATAGCATTGCGCCGCCACGGTATATTCCACGGGGAGAATCTAAACTACAGCTTCCTTGTTCCCTTCCGGGACGAAATGATTCGGGAATGGAATCGCATGTTTGGCCAAGCGTTGCTCTCTGATGTTGCAGAAGACGTTGTCAAGTTGCTCTCGGAGGCTCTGGACACGCTTGCTTCCAGGAAAATAACGAGCCCCACTCTACAAAGACAATTCGATGTTCAGCGCCGTCTTTCCGTCTCGAAAGCTCGACTGTCCCTGACCATCGCGGCTCAAGAGTTTGATTCAATCGTTCAACGTGGAAGACAGCGACTACACGCATCTTTATCAGAGTGGATCAAGGAGTTTCTAAGGTCCGAGTACGATGAAGCGTTTTCGTTCACGGGTCGCGGTAGCGTCTATTTGCAGCAGGTTTGTTGATATGCATGATCACTGGTAGATCACTGACATGCCTTCCAGGCTCATTTTCGCCGTTTTGTGGACGACAATAGTGAATCTATGTTTATACACGTGTGGAGTCGTCTCTCAGGCGGTCTCGACGACCTGACAGGGGACGTCCAGAAGTCCATGTTGAGGTGTTTGAACAACACAATTGAACAGGTGCGTTGCAATAGACGTCAACCCGGTAGCGACAATGTGAAGTATCACCTAGTGCACCCGCTCGATATCAATTTTATGGGACGAGCCCAAGAAAAACGTGAACTATGAAGAGCACCGAGAAGAGATAAATAAAATAATCACCTTTGCAGAGGAACAGCTGGCGCGATGCCGGCTAGCGTCACCGAACATGGCCATCTGATCAACAGCAGATGGCGAAAGCGCTGGGCAGAGTATAGATCACCGAGAACCTCACAAAGTATCTTTGTGGTTGGCATGTATGTGTTACATGAAACCATGACATAGTCATTCTATATTCTATACAACTATCACACACGTCTCCTGCCATCTATCTCGAAACCCAAGTGAAATAAAATCGTTCATTGATGCGCCGTGCGAAGGGGAGAAAGCCGTCCCAGAAAAGCCGTCCCAGAGCAAACACCCTACACAGGGAGACGTCCCTTTTTTATTCTAGCTCGCAGTTTTTTTCTGCCTTCCGCTTACTCAGGTCGGCGCGGGCTCTTGGGCACCATGGCCCAGATGCATAGCAGGACAACCATCATAGCGACCACACTGTCGTCTCGCGTTAGCACAAGGGCAGCACAAAAACATCAGGAGAAGGAGGGGAAAGGACATACAAAGGCTGCAAAGCGCCGATACCGAATCGCGCGGCGAGGATGCCGGTGATGAACGGTAGAACGGCGGATCCAGCTGGAGTGTGCATGTAATTAGTGTCAGAGTCGCTCGTATGATGGGGAGCCTGCGTACCAGTCCCGACGCCGGCGATCCAGCCCAGCGAGCCTGTGAGCAGCCACCTACACCCAAGCGTCGTCAGCTTCAATCATGAGAAGGAGATAGAAGAAGACGTACTTGGGCATGATACGACTTGCTTGGTTTACGAGACTACGATCGTTGGTCAGTTGGTATATCAGGGGAAAAAATGGAAGATAATACGTACATAGGGTACATCGGACCAAACAGCAGGCCGATGATCGAAACCGCAACCGCGTTCTCGATGAGCGAGGGTACACGCCATATAGTGATCTCAAGCCTGATCGTTGGTAGACAGAGTAAGGCGACAATCCTTTGAAGGAGTAAAGACGTCGACGTACGCGATGGAGAGGGTGACGTAGATGAAAACTACGCGGCGCTCGCCGACCTACACCGTCCGGTCAGGAACACAACCACCGCCGCCACTGGATGGCAATCACATACCAAACGATTGACACCGATCAGTAGCACCCGACCGAGCGCCAAGCCCTACGCAACCTCAATCAGTGACCTCTTCGTCATCCCAGTTCTCCAGGAATCGACCTACCCCGAAGAACCCGGAACTGACGTATCCCGCACTCGGGCCTCCGCCGCGCCGGTCGTTGAGGAAAGACACGATCCACCCGCCAAGCGTGACCTCCGTGCCGACGTAGATGAGCGCGAAGAGCGCGAGCAGATGCAGCACCTTGATCCGGAAGATCTGCGAGTAGGTCCCGTCGGTCGAGGTGCCTTCGGTCACCTCGTGGCCCGTTTCGCGTAAGAGCTCTGTTCGAGCGTCAGATACAGGGGGAGGAGATGCCGCAGAGGCGAAGGAGGCGGACGCACGGTTAAGGGTCTTGAAGCGGTACACGGTCACAACGAGCGCGAATGCGAGAACGGCGATGCCCAATGAGATGAGATAGTGGAAACTCCACCTCTGTTGGGACGAAAAGTGTGTCGCAGCGAGCGGGGCCGCGAAGGCACCGATACCTGTCCATAATCGTGAGAAATACGGGTCAAAAGACGAGGAGAGGGCTGGGATGTACCGTACGACGAGTGAATGAGACATAACTTGGTGGAGACGTGCGCTTTGAGGCTGCCGACATATCCATTGGCGCTCGCATTCTTTGGACCGCGTTTAAGTCAATAAGACGAAAGTGAGGGAGCTGTAGGGAAGGAACGTACGAGGATAGAGAAACCGAAGCCGGAGAAGACGCATGCAGCCGCGAATAGCGGGAAAGGCGGCGCCGCTGCTTGAATGCAGTATGCGATCACGGGAGAGAGCGCGGCTGACGCGGGGTCAGATTGGAGCCCTGTATACAGCGTATGATGATGTTCGTGGCATACCTATGAACATGGCCTGAACAAGAAAGGTCAGCATGAACCGTACGGCGCGAGCGAAGCACACGCACCTTGCCGAGACCAAGCCTATCAGCAAGCCAGACGTTCGCCAACGCTCCTCCAACATAGCCCTGGAGAACTTGTTCGTAAGGGTTCGATCTAAAGACGTTAGGTTGCTCGCGAATCGTACCACGCAGTTGCAGACAAAAATGAGGGACACGATCATAAAGTCAACCTAATTTCATCGAATGAGTACGATCATAAGACGAGACTGTGAGGAAGGCAAACATACGTGATATACCTGCTGGATCCTCGGAATCAACGGCCCCGTCGAGCCGTCGTTCCAGCCGTTTTGGAACATCACCAAGCACATTACCGCGAAGTGCATCCACTCCCGACGTCGCATCTTTTTGCGCAACGCCGACGAAAGCGGCTCGTCCACCTCGAACCTGAGCGAGGGCACGCCCGGCGTCGAGATCCCACCGACGCTGGAACGGATCGTCTTGCTATCGACATCTTCGTCCACCTCCTCCACCTCCTCCTCCAGCTCGAACTTAGCGTCGATGTCGCGTTCCTGCAAGCGGGAACCGGCCTCGAGGGCGAGGGTGTCGCGGGATCGGAGAGCTTCGGAGCGGCGTCGGACGCGGTCGACGCCGGCCGTGAGGTGCGGCGAGAACACGGGGAGGTCGAAGGAGTCGGTAGATCCGAGAGCGTCCTTCAGGCTACCAGGGTGTGGGCGAGTCGAGGGGCCCGACGCGGCGAACGAAGGTCGGTGGCGGATGTGCGCATTTTCGAGAGGGGGATCGTGGTGGTCGGAGGACATGGCTGGAGAAATCGAGAGAGGGGTGAGATGAGATGAGATGAGTCGAGGAGATAAAATGTGAATGAACACGAACCCTATTACGCATCTTTCATATCATATGGAAGGGCTGGAATGCGCTGGATACGTCAATTGAACGCATCATGTCTTGGTGGATCCTGGATAAGCTGTTCGTCCGGGCGACGTGGTAGGTGGTGGTGCGGCGACATCGTGAGCGTTGATCGGCGTCACTCATGAAGACGGTTTATTGTAGATGCGTTTGAGATGCGTCAAAGCAGCTGAGATTTTGTGCAAGGCGACCGGTTGCCCACAGACACGATGAAAGCCGAGGAGGGAGAAGCCCTGAGCCGAACACCCGAGGACCGCACCGCAGAACCGGACCGGTGCCGCCACGCGTTCGAGCCAGCTGGTCGACCCTCTGCACGAACCTGCTCAGCCTGTAGTTCAAGGTCGCGGAAATCGTATACTGTCGTCAACTCAAACGCTTTCTCATGAGTTGCATGCTTATTCAGGTGACGATGGCACACTACGTTCGCATTGAACATCGATCTATGCACCGTCACCGGTTTCCGCGATAGCACGCCGAAAGCCAAAGCACGACAAGTCAGACGTCACATGATCGAAGCATCTAGGACCATAGACCAAGTGTAGACATTCCTTGGGTAAGTGTAAATATCCCTGTCATAAACGTACAGCTGCTGTAATTTTGCGCGTCTTAAGCGGTACGCAGAAACATAATTGCAGAGACCAGCAAGAAACCCAAGCAGACGATGACGCCGACGACGACGATGACCGCCACGGGCGACGTCGCGCACACGACGAACATGAGCGCCATCGGAGTACAGACCATGCCCACTCCGATGAGCAGACCTGTTTCGATCTTATCGACGCGCTCCGGAGCGAGGAGTAGGATCGCGGCGGCGGCGGCAGCGCACGCGAAGGCACAGTTGGCCAGGATAATCGCGGCATCCAGCAGCCCCTTGTCCGACGCGTTGGCGCCTGCGAGGCTGGTGATGATCTGCACCGCGATGGCAACGATGCACAGAATCTGGCGAGTGCTTGGGTAAGCTCGTAGCCAGCTTTGAAAGTAATCGGCAGGCTCACGTATTGCAGGTAGACGCTCTCCAGGCTCCCGACGACCTGTCTTTCTTCAGCAGGCTGCTGGGCTGGTAGAGATCGCGTGAAGACGCGTAGAAAGACGACTGCTGCAGCGGCATACCGTTGATTGCGTAGCGTTGGCCTTCCTCGTGTGGAGTCGGGTTCGGCGATGGCTGGCGCGACGTTTGGCGGTGGCTCAAGGTCATGTTGGTAGACTGAGGAGAGCGGCGATCGGATGTAGTCGTTTGTGCTGGAGGGCCTCTAAACAGACTCGAAGGAGCTTTATACTTTCGTTGAACATGACCATCGCTCCATATAAACTTCCCCCGAACTGAGGCAAATCGTCGCTCTTCAGCTTCGAAATCACGGTGGGAGCAGGTCGGTACTACATTTTAGTGCAGGTCACTACTTTTCAGTGCGAAAAGTGGGGAAATCAGTGCCCTTTGCCCGGAGAAACCGGTTTCGGCGTGCGCGGGGCTGTCCCGAGCGCACTTGTGATGGACGCAGCTTCGGCACTGTCTCACAGTACGGGGAGCCAGGCTCCGACCCATCCACTCTCCAGCTATTTGCGCTCCAAACAGAGAGCGCCCGCGAGGCTGAATCCGAGTTGAATGGGATTTGGGAAGATAGGGGAAGATACTGGATTAGGAAGATGGCGGTGCAAAGAGAATGATCCGAGGAATATCCGAATAGAGGGGAGCGCAACGCTGGAGAGCGGCTGGCACATAATGTAATTTGCAATTAATGCCGAAGCTCGGCTCTGACACATATTCTCCCAGGGTAACTGAAGACCCAGCTTGGGGTCAACAACCGCGCGCAGGTAGCACAGCCACAAGTGAGATTCGCTCAACAACGAGCATATTCCTTTCTCGTCGATAGGTGTAGGAGTGCTAAGGCATACTCCGTGGACTGTTGCAACCCCTTTGGGTTGTTGAATGGTGAAATGAACTCATGAGCTTAGCGGACCACCGTTGCAGCAAGTCATATATGACAGGGAGTCGTGCGGACAACGCGCGCATTTGACGAAGTGGTAACGTGTCGCATTTCGCGACTTTCCTTTTTCGTAAGGACGGGGTTCAATCCAGAGACGCACACTTTTTTCAACAATGCATAGCAATTGTTTCCGACCACCGAAATCAAGGGCGCCCTCTCCAGCTTAATCTAGGTCTTTAAGAGCCTAATAACTAACATTATTATGTAGATGACAGGATTGTGTACCCTCTATCAGGGATTACTAGGGGATTGCAGCAGTATGAGCCGGATTGGGGACGTGGCTGTGCTACCTGCGCGCGGTTGTTGACCCCAAGCTGGGTCTTCAGTTACCCTGGGAGAATATGTGTCAGAGCCGAGCTTCGGCATTAATTGCAAATTACATTATGTGCCAGCCGCTCTCCAGCGTTGCGCTCCCCTCTATTCGGATATTCCTCGGATCATTCTCTTTGCACCGCCATCTTCCTAATCCAGTATCTTCCCCTATCTTCCCAAATCCCATTCAACTCGGATTCAGCCTCGCGGGCGCTCTCTGTTTGGAGCGCAAATAGCTGGAGAGTGGATGGGTCGGAGCCTGACGGGGAGCACTGATCTTTCGTGCTCTCTCTGCGCTGTTGGATTGGTGATGGGAAGTTCATTGACTCACCCTTAAGCAAGCGTCTCCGGGTGCCGATCACGCCTCGTCGCATGCTCTCACACGAAGCTGTCGCATTGAATCTCACTTTGATGACGAGGAAGGCACGCATACTGACTGTTTCGGACGACGATGTTTAAAGCATGGTGGATCTCAGAGGCTTCATTTTACTGTCTACGAGCGGCAAAATACCCATAGTAGAGCAGCGTTGTAACATCCAGCGATCCCTCCTTTCGTTCCGATCACTCGAACCATTCGGTGTACTTCGTGACAAACTTCACTTCTTCGAGGCCAGGCCGACTCATTGGGCTCGTGGAGGATGCATCGGATTCAATTCGACGGTTTCCTGTATAGGTCAGTAAAGATGCAAGCGTCCGTGCTTGCTTCCCTCGACCATAGTCGAGCAAAGACTTGCCAAAGTGGAAAGTCGAGAGTCCATTGAGAGGCTACCTCGGGTGAACATCAGCGAGACGTATGTCGCCTTGCAGAGAGCGAACAGCGTAGCGGGGTCGAGTCATGCCCCGGTTGGTTTACGCGAAGAAGGTTCGCGCCGTGCTTTGCTTGGCGGTGGGGACGGTTTCTGTTCCCTCGAGCAGGCGCCTGGCGAATGATGGGATAGTCTGAAGTAATTCTACGTCAGCAAAGTTAGCTTTGCAAAGGGTAGGCTTCATCCTGGCTTTGTCTAGCATGGCGCCGGCGTCAGTGTTAGCTCTCTGGCAGCGAGACTGGTTGAGGGCTGGTCACTACCGTTATTGCAAAGTGCGATGGGCGCCAATCGGGCTGAATGATTCGCCGGAGGCTGTCTTCATTTTCAGTGCATGTATGACCCGAGATAACGTGCTCTAAGTAAGCTATCGGCCGCACTCCGCATGGTCCGAAAACTAGAAGTCGCAGGGAAGCGGCAGGACTATTAAATCGATACATGTACAATATGGGTATACAAGGCCGCGAAGTATCATTCTTCTTCTAAAGTCCCCAAACGTATGATTAAGTTTACTGTCCTCACGAAGTAGTCATACCCCCATACCATGCCTCGTCCGGCGGCCCCATCACTACCTCCACTTTCCCGTTATCGAGCATGCGGGCCCACTCACAACTTGACGCGACGCCTTCCATCCTCAGCCTCCTCATCTCTGCCCTCGCCAGTCCGAGCTCGTCATCCGCCATCCAGATCAGCCGCTGGTCCTTCCACGTTGAAGGTGGATCGAACGCCTCCGCATGCAGACCAGTCGTACGGCCGTACTGCGCGCCTGCGAGCATTTCTTCTGTTATCCCGCACTGAAGGCCGGGAGGAATCGCGGGCGACGTAGTGCCGGAGGTGATGCTCCCTCTAATGCTGGCCGCGTCGGGGGAGGTAGGATTCAACCACGCCACGGAGCTAGACTTGAAGTAATGTACGCCCGTGTCGAGGAAGGTGTACGTCGCGGGCGAGAATTTCCATCGCACCATCCAGATCTCGCATAATGCCGTCAAGATCATCATGACACCCTGTACCGATAATGTCAGCCTCGCTGAACAAAGATCGACAGCGCGTTGTATGCAACGTACCATGACCGATCCACCAAGCGAGCCCATAATAGAAAGGCCGTTACCGGCAGGCGCGCTGAGGAAGAACAGCGTACCCAGCCATGCCTCTAAAAGGTACAGAGCAACGAACACCGTCCCGAGGGCTCGGGGATAGTATAACCCGCCGGTCTCTAGCTCCTCAGGCTGTTCAACCACATACAGCACCAAGTACTTGTAGGTGACGTAAAGCCTGTGATTCAACGCAATGAGTAAAATCGTCCAGCAAAATGGGACCTCGATGGTACTCACAGGAGAAACCCAGCAGCGCCAATACCGACCACGACGGGTTGGACGACCGAGTAGACGATGCATATGCATCCCATAAGCGCAACGGTAGGCCACGCAGTTGCCAAATCCAGCTTGCCCATCCCCCAGTCCGTCCTCCACACCTCTCTCGGCGTGTTCATCCTGCGCATATTCCGCCACTTGGCCATGAGCAACGGCACGATGCGCGAGACCCCTGCGCCTGACATGGCCAGCGTGCTAGTGATGAGATACGTGATGAACAACACGCCTGCGTCGGGAAGGTGCGTTGCGAGCTCGCTGGGGAGTTTGTCCGTGGCCAGGGTGATGTGGCTGAGAGAGGGTGGTAGACCAGAGCCGAGGGTCACGACAAGGAAGCCAAGGATGACCTGGAAGAACCACATCCGGGAAAAGAGCGCTTTTTCGATATCTGATCGACGCGGAGAACCTTGCAGGCTGATGAGGGGGCGAAGGAGGACGGGAAGGATCGCGAAGAGAATCGTAAGAACGACAGGTGGGAGCACACCCTGGACGATGCCGACGACTGGGGCGGGAAGCTCGCAGATCCAGGAGAGGAGGCGGACTTCGTTGCAAAGGAAGCTGACGTTTGAGGTCACACCAGCGAATGCCGCAGGGACCGCACACGCGATGATCAGCCCAATGGCGAGCAACCAACTGATCCCCGTCCTCAGCGCGCGCATCGCGCGGGACAGTCCTAGATTGCTCCAGATTACCTACGTCCGGTTCACGTTAGCGAACATTCGTCTGGAGGTCAAAAAGATAGAAAGCTCACATCTTCCGGCACGACATCTACCGCGGCATTGATTCGCGTGTGCTTGGTCACAGCCCCGACGTTGCGCGCAAACGCGTGGGCGTCCTCCGTTCTTTCGAAACGCACAAATGCCGCGCCCGTGAGCGGATGCAACTGCGTGGCCCACAGCTCGCCGCGCTGCGCCGCCTGGTAGGTCGCGCGCCCAGCGTCGATACGATCGCTCTGCTCCTTGATCTGCGCCGGAATGTGCTGGAGCGTGTTCACCTTCCTGCTCACGAGTGGGAGCGGGCCGATGCGGTGCGATGGCATGTCCTCGAGCGTGACGAACTTCGTGGCAAAGTCGTAGGGCGACTTTTCGGGGTCGGCGAGGCCTGGGTCGGAGGGCACCCTGTTCTTGTTGACGTTCCTCGTCGCTTGAAGCAGGAGGGCACCCTCGGCGCGTTCGAGTTTGAGGCATTCTCGTTCGCGATGGGAAAAGAGCTCGTCGAGACCGGTAGTGGACCGGGGGAGCCAGATACGCAGTATTGGCGTGGGGACGAGAGACCGAATGGCGTCGGATGACATGAGGGAGGGAGGGAGGTGGGTGAGCATCACCGTGCGGGCGCGCGCGAGGCGGCTGTGCGCAGGAGAGGAGAGGTACTTCTGACGTATGCGGATGAAGTTGGCGTATTCGCGGTGGAGGAGGAAAAGGACATAAACTGTGGGATACTCGTCACACACCTCGTGAAATATGTAAGTATGGCGAAACGTACGAATGACGGTGACGGCAACGAGCAGGTGCGCGACGTGCTTCAATTGTTGGTCTTTCGGCACGTTTCCGAAGGTAAACATGTTCAGTCCAGATAAACCTGCATTGGGAGTGGAGGAGGAGACGGGCATGAGGACGATGCACGCGAGGACCGAAACGGGGAGGAGAATCGTGCACATGAGTCGGATGTAGCGAACGAAGAAGTAGGCATCGGGACCGTTCATGTCGAGGATGTGGACGTCATCTTCACGAAGAAGCGCGGAAAACCAAGAGTAAAGTCTGACGGGAAGGGGGCGAGGACGTTTGCTATGGGCGTTCGTGAGTTAGCGACGTATAATAAGAACACAGAGGGCTTCCTCACTGCATCGGGGTAAGGAATGTGCGGGGTTGGTAGAAATTGCGATAGCGAGCATGGTAGAAGTAGAATACGACGATACAAGCCATGAACGCGATCGAGCCAAAACTGAGTGCTACGTCGCGATCCATGTTTAGACCACCATGCTTGCATGTCGATCTTGCAAGCGCTCACCTGAAAGAAAGGAAGGGACGGTAGATCCTCCTGAGTACGCTGTCGTCGTCGCCATTCTGCGAGCGATGCGTTGCTGCTACTCGGTGGAGGGCGAAGCCTGGGTGAGTCCGACATTTTGCAAGGGCCTTTTGAGGACGGGCAAGCTGACAGAGAAGTTCATAATGACGATCGACACAAAGGGCCCGATCTAGTGTCATGGCTGGACGCGTTTGGTCTCTCCGAAGAAATCATCCCTTCATGGAGTATACGTGCGGATCTATCTCGCGCGATCGTTTGGACTGTAGTAATGCATCTGTTGTGAGGGATGCAACGGTGAAGCAAGCACTTGCATAGTGGGCGCCGGCATATTGGTTTCCCTGCAAAGGCTGAAGACGGAGACTTGCCTCAGCGCCGCGTCAATGCTTGCCTTCCAAAAGTGGCCGACGCCTGCCTTCTGTTTCGGAAACGCCGGTCTCTCAGTCATCAATCATCTAGCCCAAAGTACCTCCTCAACCCTGAACTATCGCTGAAAAGGCGGCGTGTATCCTTCAGGCGGGTGCTTCTGTTTCAGATGTGTATATCACGCATGTTCGGCAGATACCGGCGCTCGCAACGGCAGTGAAAGGAGAGGAAACAGTGAGTAAGTATCCAATTGACCAGTCAGATACTCAATCCTCATCAATCGTTGATACTGACCCAATGTAAGCTTACCTGACCAAGTTCGGTTGCCGCGGCCTTCCGAGTCGAGGTAGATTCCGTGCCTATCGAACGACCAACCGGTGATGCACCAAGATCCCGAAGGATGGCCGCCAGAGCAGTATCAAGTACTCGAACAGCCGATATACGTGCAAGTCAGCCCAAGTACTAAGACAAAAGCGCCTGTGCTTGTGCTTCAAATGCGTAGGCGATATGTGAGGCAGGGTTTCCCCATATCTCTGCCGCAGATATACGGCTAGTCTCAGGTTCAATGAGAGCTTTCCCGTTCATAGAGAGAGATCAGACTAGATTTATGTTGATGATGAGCAAAACGACGAGTGGAAGGGGAGGTAGAGGAAGGATACTGCGTGAAGGGAGGTATGTATACGCCACGTGGTGACCTATAAATAGCACACACAATGTTCACCTCCGTCGTGTTGCTTTCTTTAACCTCCTAGGAAGTTTCCTTGTGCATCACAACTGCATGACGTTCCCGACCGCGACATACTATGTTATACGCGATGACGAACTCATGTGCAAGGCAAGCTTTCCGATTTATCGCACAACGCCAATCCCACGAAGTTGTTGGCCTCGACGAAGTAATGGAAACAGACAGCGCACGACTACGTTCATGCCGTTACGCAGAAGCGTATGTAACATTCACATCGCCCGTGCTCGCTCCTCCTGTGAACGTCGCAGTAAACGGCTTGTTCTGGCCGCAGACGGCGAACGCCGCTTTGATGCCCTTCAATTCAAATCACGTATGTCAGTACCGTGCGAGTGCAGCGAGCAACAGCTTAGAAGAACTCGCCTGTTCCCATCGCCCTTTGCTAATGTTGATCGTCGCACCCGATTGGACGGGGTTGATAGTGAACTTGACGTCTCCCGATTGGCCGACCGTCGACGTCGGCGCGCCTTCGCACTTCTCAATCGTGCCCGCGATGCCACCGCATATCTGCAGGAGTGCGACGTTGCTCGTATGGAAGTCAAGGGTGCTGGTATAAGAAATTTGCTCTTTATCAGACTACGGAGGGAGGGAGAACTATTGGGGACTTACGTGTTGGGGTCAGTGCACTTGACGTTACTGACGGTTTCCTGACGGAACTCCAGAGGAGCCGCGAAGGCTCCGAGAACGAACGCAGCGGCGGAGAGGACGACACTGAAGCGCATTTTGCTTGGGATTTGAGGGTTGCAACGGCAAGACGATCGAGAACAGAGAGAGCTACAAGAGCTTCGAAGGAAGCGACTGAGAATGAATGTGGGGTAGGCCTTCTGCTACGACAGAGTGAAGCTTAAGGAGAACGAGCGCTGCTGAACCCGACCAAGCAGGTGGCGAAGGGAAAGAGACGATGACCGATGGGGCAGAAAGTGGGATCGGTGTTCTCAGCATCTCTCGTCCTTATATCTGCCCGAGAACGAACGGAGGTAATATTCTGGAATGTGAACTGAAGCCGGCATTGTCCAGGTGACGAACAGGCGAAGCTCAAGCGGCAGCACGCGTGCTTTCGCCGGCATGCATTTGTTTCCACGGCCTTATTACGTAATAGCACATCGACTTTCGAAGTTGAAGGCTACGGCGTTTGACACGCTCACTTCCGGGCTATACGATGTATTATCTGCTTCTAGCCATACGTCTACCTACCTCCGTTGAACTTCGCTCATTCACCCCGGAGCATGTCAAGTTCTGCTGCCCGACCTAGCCTTCTGGCCATTTGTACCACACGATTGACCTTGTCTCATCCCTCGCTCTCCTTCACAAATATCGCCACCCTGGACGCGTCGGGACCGAGCAAACGTTTGGCTCTGAGACAGCTCCATAAGCCTGGGCTGCTAATCCCTCTAATCACTCTCGCGATAGGGACCCGGACGCATGAGACACGCCGCGTAAGGAACTGTGCCTGCAGGAAAAACTCCGTAGGGGGCAAGATGTGGCCCGTATATGGCAATACTCGTGGCCTGCCGGACGTACGCTCGCCAAGACGTCCCCCGGAGTGCGAATCATCCGTATTATTATGAAGGACAACGTCAACTTCATAGAACCTTGTTCGAGTTCGGCACGCGGGTGGCTTGAGTATTTACAAAAGGGCGTTCCCCACCTCTCCATCGCTCGCTCTCGCATTCCCCCCGTTCACAGTGGCTGGCATAAGAGACTCAGCCGAGGCAGACAGCCTGTCTCCGCTATGCCGATTCAGCACGTTGGTAAGTCACATGGAATACGAACAGGAATAATCTGCTTACTTTCCTTGAAGCATTGTTGAAGCTCAAGCTCACGGTGCCGACTCCCCAGCAGATGCAGATCATTGAGCACGCGTTACGCGTCATGCGCTCCATCCCTGAAGTGAGGATGTGTCGTGGAGGGCGCCCATTGCGGATCAAGCAGGAAGGATACAACTTCGGTAGGTACTCAATGCTCGCTGGCTATTGCAAGTTCTGATGCATTGTGGCAGCTGTTACTGCTGAACTTGACGACTGGGATGCATTCAAGTAGGTGTTTGCTTTATCGACCCTCTTGCTTTCAACCTCATGCATCTTTAACAGAAGATACATGAAACACCCCGAGCATGTAAAGTGGGCGATGACTCGTCCTATGCATCGTGATGGCGGCCTAACTCCTATCTTAATGTTTGCAGACTAGAGCGATTCCTCGCTCCTCTTCTTGATGGTACATCCTTCCTTCTCTATGATTCCCAGCGGCTTCGTTCAATGCACTCCCCGGTTCTCTCCCCGTGGCCCGACCATCTCGTTATCTGATCTCCCTTCCTCTCCTACACGCGTCCTTGCTGACCTCTTTCTTCGTTCTTATCTTATAGGGATCCTATCCTATCAGATCCACGTTACCGAGCACGCCGACCACCACGACGATGTTCAGCCTCATCGCGATCGCCGCCATCGCCGCATCATCGAACCGCGGGGCCAGTACGACGGTATCAATACCGGCGAGAATCTCATGGCCGATGCCAGCGACACCCTCGTGGCAAAGCTGTAGACGCAGATCTCGGCGACACTCATTTATCTCACCCTATGTTCTTTTCACCCCCCGGAGATACGGGGATCTCACCGGAGAGTCCCAGGCGCAGGAGGAATGTGCACAGGTCCCGGTATGCCCGATATGTACATCGTTGTTAACGAAGGTAGATTCCTTCGCGTGTGTTCACTTATCTGTTGTATATCTATGTAGTGTGTACTTGTATGTCATGGCGATGCGAACGGTGGCCCTCGTGGGTAGTCGTCCGCGTGCGTTTACTACCACCGAGTCGTGGCGATGTGAGGCTCGTGGAAGAGAAGGGAGTGTTGCCAAATCGCAGTTGTTCTTACTTACCGCATAGGTGAGCGTGCGATGCGTAGTGCGACCGGCTGAGGTAGCGAAGCTTCTGCTCATCCTCGACGGGAGTGGCTGATAACAACGATTTCCGATAGGTGACATTGATAGGACGTGAAGTAGAATAATACGGAAAGACAACCCGTCGTGCTATGTACGTGGTCGTTATGGGTAACAAGACGATGCAGTTGTGGAGTGACCATGGCTGTTTGCAGTGCCATTTAGCGCGATTGTACATATGGCATGCCCGTGCGCCCAAGACGAATAAGGGCATCTTGCTGACCTCGAGGTATCTGGCATGGGACATGACCCCGGAGACTCACATCCTCGCCTTGATCATTTTCTTTGCGCTCTCCGGATCGAGGACGCTTTCCGGGTAAGGCAGCACCGTCGTACGCAGGTGCTCCGAGCCTCCGTCAACCACAATGACCTAAGTGACAGAACACGAAGTCAGCCAGGGGTCAATCGAGAGACGGAAGGAGTGGAACTTACCTGTCCGGTAACGAAAGACGCGGCATCGCTGAACAACCACACCGCGGCGTTGGCGATATCCCTGATGTCCCCCATGCGCGTTAACGGCATGGCGCGCGGCGCCTGCGGTTGCCCCTACGCGAAGAGCAACGATATGAGCAAACAGATATGCTAGCTGACAGAGGACGATCGTCTCCGAGTATTGGAGAGGACAGCGCTTGCCTTTTCCCTTGCGGACAGCCTGTCCATGCCCTCGGTTCCCGCGATGGGTCCGGGTGCGATAACGTTCGAACGGACGCCGCGCGGACCTTCTTCCACGGCGAGCACCGCTGACGTAGCGTCCACCGCGGCTTTAGCAGCGGAGACGTGCACCTGGTAGGGTGTCCCTACGAGAGTAGATCGGGGATCAGCAGCGGAGCAAACTGACAGAAGCCCGAAGCACGGTGATAGGACGTAAGAGTACCATTGTAGTGGAGCGTCGCGCTGACGTGAATGTACGACCCATGCGAGGCGCGGACGTAAGGCAAGGTAGCTTTGATGGTGTGATATGTTCCCAGCTGTAGATAAGAATGATCGGTCGGTGGTGCCCCGCGATTCAAGGAGGCTAAAGCGAGGCTCACCGTATCGATCTCGATCACAGTACGGAAGGCGTTTTCTGACAGCCCTTCGATAGGCGCAAGGAAGTTTCCGGCGGCACCTACATCGACATACGTAGATCAACGCCTTCGGTGTTAAGCAGACCAGACAGAGGGGATAAACGCGACTTACCGCAGATGACGAAGTCGATATGTCCGAACTAGGTCACATGCGCTCGCATCAGTTTATAGCACCTTAATGAAAGATATCACGAAGTTGCGCAGACAGAGTGCAAACATGAGGCGTGTGGCAATGTATCGGGAGAAGAGACGACGACGCGAGCGCCATCCGGAACCAAACAGAAGGGAGTAACACCCCTTCCTGCGTCAGCATTGCCAGCGGGGGATTCTTCCCCGCGTAAAACGTTGCGCAAGGTTCAATCAAACCACAACAAAATCGGGCTTGGCTTACCTCCTCCACGCACTTCTTCACAGCTTCCTTCAGCTGTTCAGGACTCCGGACGTCGGCCTGGAGCGGGACGCATTTCTGCTTCGTTTTGGAGGAAAGATCGTGAGCGGACGCCGTGAGACGATCCAGCCTGAACACAACGCATCACACGGGTCAGATGAGGCAGGCACATGTCATGGGCGGCAACGAGCTGAGCAAATGATCACGCTGCGGCTGAGACGGACAATTTTATCGAACGACAGTCCATGCTGCTTGACCTCTGCTGTAGTCAAGGAATCCTGGCTCATGGACGAGATGGACTATTACTGCGTGATCGAGATAATAGTACTGGCTTGCAAACCGCCAGTGAAGTCCCTGCGCATCCTCCCGGCGTCATCGGCGTAACCACCCGGACTGGAAGCTGATCTAACCAATCCCGGACGCTGCTTCAAACGTCTGGGCCGAGCTTTCTGCAACAAATCCGCTCCTTCTCGATATCCAAGAGTCTGTCCTGAAGCCGAAGGGAGAAGATATACCACATGATCACAACCTCGAAGCCTAGCACCACTTTGGGTCGTTGCCACCGGGAATGGCGGCGAGATGGCTGCGCATTTGGGCAAGGCACCACCAAGTCTTTTGCATGGAAACTCGGAAATCTCGGGCGTCCACAATCTTCCTCGTTTGCGTGCCTCCTGGGGACCGTAGACAGCAGACTGATCCCACCTAGCGACTAGCTGACTGGCCAATGACGATATGTCGGACTCAGCGGTGAATCTCGCGTGTGCTGCGGGAGTCGTAGCAGCTGGCCGCACTCGCCGACCACATGCGATTTCATGAGGTGCGTACCTGCCTTGCTAGCGAACGTTTTCCCAACACGAACACTCAGCTGACAAAGCTTCCCCGCAAGGAATCCCGTGGGTATGCGCAGTCACTGGGCGGCGATACCGAGTACTACAACAGTCTCTTTCTTGGACGGATAGTCTCTCGTTGACATGTCTCTGACATCCCCTTACGAAATATCTGCGCGACGTTACGGCCTGTTCCGCTCGCCTCATTGCGGCGTTACGCACGGGTGTCTCTCGGAGGCGAAGATGGCCTCGGGAAAGGCTAAAACGCTGCACTTCTTCTGCCTGAAGCGTATCTTGTCTGAAAAAAATGGGAACGAAGTTTCTCTCATTTCGGACGAGTGGTTCCGCGACCACGCGATAAGACTTCACACCGCCTCCCGCGTTTCCGACCCCGGTCGGATTTTTCCTTCGAAAGAACACTTTAATGGATCCATACTCCAACGCGCCATCGGGACCTATGCTCTGGAATGCTGCCGACATCTAGCCCGCTCCGATGCTTGGCCACGGCGATGCTAACCCCACGTCCGCAGTCCTCGCCCCCCACACAACGCGCGATACCCAACTCCGGGCCGCGCGATCCTCTGCCTTTACGGCGAATACCGCGCCCCATAATCGGGGATCATCGTCGGATGGGCTTGGGTGTTGGTGGCGCCACCATCGTGGCAGCTGTCCCTTCGCAGCTCCGAGTCCCTGCCTCGCGTTTTCGCAGTTCAAGTCGGATGACCTGCCACCCTGGCTTCCCCATTCCCGTTCCTGAGCTTGATTTTCCTCGGCGCAACCGCAAGCTCCTCGGCTGGCAAAACCTAGGTCCAATCCCGTGTCGAACCGAGAGTCACGAAAACGCTTCGCTCTCGCTCGCCGCTGTCGTTACCCTCGCCGTCGATATACATAGCCGCGCGCCATCCGCCCTCGGTCCTTCGTCCAATCGACGCGCCCGTCCGGATAAAACGCGCGGGCGCGAGATACACGCTCGACCACGAGACCGAGGGTCCGACAGATCTTCGAGGGCGCGAACCACGCCATGTTCCCCAACCGCGCCCTCGGCAACTTCCCTCCCGACCTTCCTTTCCTTGACCCTGAAGCCTATCACGGGCGCGCAGGGCCTCGGCCGGTGTTTCTGGCAGCCCAACCCCAACCCCAACCCACCCCCTCCGCACCCGCGCATGTCACGCCCGGAGCTTGCGGCGCCGAAGGCTATCGCATTCTCTGATCCTGGCGAGACCGCGCGGATTTTTCGTTGTGTGATGCAAGGGTTACTAAGTGTTGTACCCGCCCGTTCCGGCCAGTGCTTGCCTGTTGGGTCTAGGGCAGGACCCCCAAGAGCGCGCTCCCCCTCCTTCTCAGTACCGGCACCTCAGCCTCGCTTTTCTGGTGGCCGCGGTGCGTTTCTGGCCCCGGTCACCTATCTCGTACCCGCATCACAGCCCGTCGCTCTCATGTAATGCGCATGTTTACTTTTCCCCCTCTGTTTTGCTTTTCTGTTTTTGAGATCCCGCGGTTTCATCATCGATCTCAGTGGCACTGCGTGTGGACGACCGCGATCCGCGTATGGTTATAGCTCATATATGACACATATTCCCTTTGCGGAGGTCGTGTTCGGCGCCATGTAGCAAGGAGAGGGGGAGGCCGGTCGCTACTGCGCCATCACCGGCGGCGAATAATCCCCCCCGCATACAAGCCGAAAGGCAAGCATTATTTCTCCGAGATTCTTCTCTACGGCAAGGCTTCTACCATCCGATACGGAGATGCGCACGCAGAACCCTGAGCTCCTCCCCCCCTTGCGTCAGAGCACCCGCAACCGGCCGAGCAAAGACCATAACTTGTTCGAGCGAGAGCGTCGCCGAGGACGTGCGCGGCAATATATCGGTGATCGTCCCCCCCACCTCGCTCGTTCGTTCGTTCGTTCGAACGCGATCACAATGGGGTCCTCGATGGCTCGATCTTTCCTCGGAGCCTACGAACTCCAAGGGAGCGCGGTAGCGAAAGCATTCTCACTCCCTTTGCCGGCGGGGGTGCGGTGGCGGATTACTGTGACACGTTCTCCCAGATATATCCTTTCCGTCTCGAAACGTCGTGGCAGAGATCCGACCGACGGCGCCTTCTCGTTGCGGGAACGGGGGGCGATTCGATAGCCCGAAGTAACGTCGAAGAAACGAAAAGAGAGAGAGAAAAAAGAACATCACGCTACGCAGTGCGCGATTTCTTCGTTTCGACGGAACGTGATGTTTTGGTAATGCGAAAGAAACCTATCGATCGTTTTTTTGCGTCCAGTTGAAACCGTACCGTTCCGTTCGTCGCTAGCATGACATTGACTGACAGACGCGCGTCCTGCTGTACGTACAGAGGTTTGCTAGCATCGATAGATGCGGCCAGAAGAGCGAAAAAAAACATGGTCGCGACGCGCAACGTCACACTTCCCACTTCGAGAGAGGTGAACAATACGGGTTCCGAACGTGCCCCCCGGCCATCTCGGAATGAAACAGCCCCCCCGCGCCGCCCGGAGGAGAGGGGAGAGGCGCCTTTTGTTCGGTACACAGATCGACGATTACATCGGGATAAGACGGGGCGGAAATGACGGCGCACAGGAGCCCACAGAGCAAGCAAGCTGGCTCGCACCGCTTTTGGGAATTTCTCCTAACGTTCGGCGTGCGGGGTCCGTTCGATACGGGAGCCAAGCCAACGATAACGCGAGGGTATACGGTACATAGCACAAGAAAATTTTCATTAACTATTCGTTTGGATGAGAGAGTGTTTAATGGGAGATACGAATTGAATTGGTATATATGGTGGGAAGTGGGTCAAGAGCCGGTGCGCGAGTCGAGGAGGGAGGGTTAATATACATATCGAAAGCTCGAAGAGAGGGATGGAGAGAGAGAGAGAGAGAGGAGGGACAAAGGCTACAGTCGATTGATCAAATTTGTAGAGGTAGAGTGAGAGAGGTAGAGAGAGAGAGAGAGAGAGAGAGAGAGAGAGAGAGAGAGAGAGAGAGGAGTGTGGTCCAGGGTCACCCGACAAAGGAGGATAGGATATAAAGTAAAAAGCCGGTATACAGACAGCAAAAAGGCGAGCGAGCGAGCGAGCGATGGGGGTGCGGGCCAAACAAAAAGAAAACGAGCGCATATAGTCAGGTCAGGTCGAGTTCTTTCATCAAAAAAAAGCGTAGATAGGTGAGCGTTTAGAGGATGTTAGGATGCGTCGGCGGCGGGCAACGAAAATCTCAGAAGCATGGAAACACGATGTAAAGAAAAAAGAAAAGAAAGAAAAATGTCCCACATTAAAAAATCCGGGGGGCCGGTTGCGTTTGAGTCTTTCGTTTATGTTTCGTTCTCGACGCGCGGGGTGGAGGTTTTTCTCTTTATTTATTGCGCATCTGGGCGCGCCCCTTATCGACCCGTCCTCCAATACTCCATCGCGGAGAAATCGTGCGCGGGAGAGCCCGCCGCCGAGGAGGAGGAGTGATGCTGCTGATGCGGCGCGGGCGGGTTCATGGCGAACGTCGACGTCGAGAGCGGCGTCAGCACCGGCGCGAGCGACGACGACGACCCCGACCCGAGCCGGATCCGGATCCCCTCCCGTCCCGCGCCGCCCGGTTANCGGCGTACGGCTCGTGCGGAGGAGGATGAGGAGGGTGAGGGAGGAGGGTGACCGGTAC